AAAGTTACAGGGTGGTGAATCTGAATATAATATCAGATGTATTGACCCATTTATATAATATGTTCTGTTGATGAGACAGGGGCCCATTACAATAAGTCTACTGTGTTTTACCTTATCAAAAGCTTTTTCAAAATCAGCAAAGCAGATACTGTATACAATTTCTTTGGACCTCTAAAGACCTTTCACTCAAAATTCTCAAACCAAATATAGCTTCTCTAGTTCCTTTTCCCTTTCTAAATCTATTTTTATCTTCAGATAATTCACTGTCTATTCTAAATTTTTTCTACTTTAAATTATGTTTCTAAACTTGGTAGGCTCATTGTTCTAAACTGGGTACACTAAGGCTTCTGGCTTTTTAGATAATAATACAGATATTGATTTTTTTTAAAAGACTGGAAAGGTCTCCTTTGAAGTATAGTGGATTAAGTATTTTAGTCAAACTTTTGATCCCATTCTTGTCTATTTGTATTATAAATTCTGCTGAAGCTGATCAACCACAGAAGCTTTATCATTTTTCATTTAACTCACAGCTGCCTCAACATCTGATAAAAGAATTAGTAGTTTGATCTTTATTTCCTTTTCGTTCCTTGCCTCCTCTCTGTCCTTATCATCAGAGCGATCCTGAGGGGGTGGCGAGCCTGGGCAGCCGCCCCGAGCCTCGCGCTTCCAGGGGCCTTGCACTCTCCCGGTTAGTAATTATACAGGTCGAATGCAACACACAAACTAATATGAGAAGTCTGTACTGATTAGAAGCATTTTAGTGAAAGACTAAAATCTCAGGAGTCATCAAATGAACACTTGTTCAACCTTAACCAAATGGATGGAACTGAAAAGAAGGTTGTGTTCAATGAATACAATACAGTAAGTAATATCTCCATTAGCCAGAATCCCTCAAATCCGGAACTCTCCTATAGTTGGAATTAAAATTTTCTTTGAAAATTGTTTCCAAAGCCAGAATTTTCTGGAATATTTCAGCTTTGGGAACAATTTTCTGAGGGGCACATTTTCTGGAAAATCTCAGAAAAAATTTTCCCAATACAGTGGTCCCTCGGTTAACAAACGCCTCGGTTAACGAATTACCTTCCATAAGAATCTTCATTTCGGCTAACGAAAAAAATTTGGCTAACGAAATTCTTACGAAAATGTTTCGACATGCTTTGGCTTGCTCACCATCTGGAAGATTAGTCCGCTAATGCAGAAATCGGTTCTAGGGCTTACATTCGTTAAAATTGGAGTAAATATCAAGAAGGTTGTACAGGTACTATTCAATAATTTTTCAAGTTTTATATTAAATTTTTTAGTAATTTTAACACTTATTTAACATAATTGCAGTACAGGGAACTAGTTTTTGGTGTGCCCATCAGCCACTTCACTCACCCACCAATGCCTCAGTTTGTATCTGTTCAGTGGAGGAAACATCTTGCTTGTGGGTCTCTTGAACACACAGTATTTTTACATTTTTGCGGTACAATTATTGGTCATTCTGAAATTTATTTAACATATTAACAATGTATAGTGCAGTGCAGTGTTGATTTAAAGAAAATAATCTTGAATTACACCGAGTGAACTTAAAATTTTATGGGTGAAATGACGGCATGAAGCATGGGGTGATTTCTCTTCCACCCCCACTTCCTTCTCTTCTCCCTTCTCCTCCACCCCACTTCTAATTCCCATCATCATCAACCAGGAGCCTTCTACATACACACCTCAAAGTAAGTGTACTTTACTGCATTTTTTTTTACTTTGTATGTAATTTTCTGTGAGCTGGAACCAATTACCCAAAATCCCATTGAAACAATGGTTTCGGTTAACGAACGACTTTCTGGAACGAATTGTGTTCGTTAACCGAGGGACCACTGTACAAATAAATACACGTAATGAGAAAATTCTCTCACAAATAATCATAAAAAAAAATATTAAAAATGTTGAGTCTACCCTCAAGTCTACTCGGTGCTTTATTAATAACAAAGCACAGAATGGAGTTCAGGGTCGACTCAACATTTTTAATAAAAAATTTGATTATTTGTGAGAGGATTTTCTCATTATTTATTTGTATCACACACATATACAATACAGGTAAAGGAAATTACTGTCTTTAGAACGAATGGCTCCCTGTCCTGGCCACGAAAATGCCAGTTACTTTAAAACTACCTGTTCCCTTAGACATTCTTGGATACATCCAGAGTGTCATCCGTGAATAATAAAGGACCGCGAAATAAAAAATCGCGAATTATCCAGGCGTACTGTACTGTACTGTACAGAGATGCTTGGTGTATTGTTCAAACTATGTATTTGCAATTATCATCTTGTTTTCTTTACAGAAGTCAATTGCTCTGCCTTCTTCTGTGTTTCCATCCTCTTACAATGTCTCACTTTAAAAAGCTGGTTTTCCGGCATCTTTGTGGTGTAGATTAATACAGTATAACCTTTTTCTTCTATATTTACAATTTCTTTTCGTTCTCTCTCCCCCCCCCAGCTCCGTTGTGGGTCGTTTGACCTGTGCCCAGGCAGGCTAATTCCCGTAAAAAAAAAAAAAATTCTTTCATTTCTTATTACCCAATCCATGCTGCCCTACTTCTGTTGTTTCTTTCCCAACTTTTGTGTTAAAATCGCCCATTATAAACAGACATTCAATAAACTTCATGGTGTCTTTTGCTTTCTTCAAATCTTCATAACATTTTTATAAGACTTCAACTTCACTATCATTTGTTGGTGCATAAACCTGTACTTTACCAAGTCATGGGTTTATCATTAAAATTTACAAAAAAAAAAACTCTGACACTACCCAATATCCCTTTTCATTACTGCTCAACTAATGGTTTACAAGAATATCAACACCTCTCTCATGCTTTTCACCACCTGAATATATGAAGTAAAAAGTTTCACTGCTAATGCTTTTTGAACCTATCCATCTTACTTCACTTAATCCCAGAATGTCCCACTGCAGTCTTTTCATTTCCCTATAAACATTTATATACTTACCACCCTCATATAATTTCCTCACATTCCATGTTCCAATATTGGTTTTGTGCTTGTTCATTATTAAACTGTCCGTAGTTGTGTTAATGTCCAAGGCTTTCTTTTGTTCGGACAATACTTGCTAACTCGGCACACTGCCTGCAAGCACAGGAGGCAACGCAGTTTGGCCTCAAGGTGACGACGATTCAAAAGAAATGCCCAAAAATCTTTTATTGTGTCTGTCCATGGTTATTCAAGGGCAACAGATGAAGTTAACAAGAATGGATGCCCTAAGCCTTTTCTCATCAGGAGACTAATTAACCCTTTTGCTGCCATTTCCTCACTTACCATTTTATTATGGCAACTGCCAAATGATTTTATTCAGCTAGAGTAACCTCTTGCAGCCAATGGGTTAAAAGGAGAAAAAGTTGGAAATGAACTATGGGGTGTAGAGGTCATTCAAACTGCACTTTGGTAAAGAACCAACTCATCACCTATAAATATTTTGTGTGTTTTGCGATAGTCCATTTTCAATCTCCTCATTTGAGGTTACAAAATGGGAACTTTATACCCACATCCCAGATATTTGAAAGTGGGTCGTTCAAGCCGCCACTCTATGACAAGGGAATGAAAATTCGGCCACTAGATGAAGTTGTACCTTATGGGGGATCTCAGACTATCAATACGCTTTATTTTGGTTATTTGGGTCTTGGGGTGTTCACTTCACAACATGTCCTCATGTTAGATGGTATAATTTTTCATGATATGTCAAATTCGGCTGCTACAGTTTTTTCTGGCTGTGGCAGAATTGCATTTCAAATTGTTCTGTAATATTTTGAAATTTTGAGTTTTGATAACACAAGCTATTTAATCCATTTTATAAATTACTGAAGGTGATGGGCTATTACAGTCATTTAAGGCTGTAACAGCAAAATTCAGCAGATTATTTATTTTGTCATTTCAAACTGTAACAGTTTCAATTTCGGACTGTTACAGCCTCATGTTACTGTGCGGTTCATTCAGATGCTGCTGCTATATAATCATGGTTTTTACAGTGTCATTTCAGGTTGTGACAGAACTCCACATGCGGATGATTATTACGTCTAATGTTACATGACATAGCGTATGCAAAATTAGAAAAAATCTTCCACAATATATAGTAACAACATTGCATGTTATTTTAGTTGTAACAATATTTTGTTTCAGGCTCTTACCATGCTTGTTTGAGGCTGTAACATTTCTTAATTTGACTGAAACTGCTCCAATTTTGTGCTGTTCCAGTATTGTTACACCTAACAGCAAGTGCGGTACAGTGGTTTAAAAAATGCATTACTCATGTAAACCATGAAACACAGTTTTTCATAATAAACTTATTGTTCCATTTTTTTTTCGAGGATAATATTGAGGTCTTGGGTAAAGAAGCTCAACATTGTAAATGTTATTCATCACTGTGGCAACCATTCCAGATTTACACAGTGCTTTTTGCTGTGTTGATTTATAAACAATAATAAAACTTTTAAGTGTTAATGTTACATTACAAAAACAGTGTTGGGTGCAGTGCATTTTTTTTAAGTAAGTAGAATAATATCTTGGAATACTGGATATCAGATAATGTAAGTTACATTAACTCTTTGCAGCTTATGTAAAATGATTCTTGCCAGAACACTGAGCTCTACATTGATAGGATTTGTTCTTTTCTTTTCAGTCATTTCCTATTTAAAGATTAAAGCCATGGGGTAGAATGCTTTTTCACTGCATCTATTAGAACTGCATAAGATTTAATGGATTCTCTCCTTTTATTTAAGTATTTAACTGTGCTTATTCAAGAAAAAAATATTAATTATTTCATGAATTTATTGAAAATTATATATTCTTACAAATTTAATTTCTTTAGAGAGAAAATGTTATCATTGTATTTGAAGCACCAGATGAGGGTTAAATGTAATGAAAGGCAGGACATTATTCTCCTTCGAGTAGTCTTTTACTTTGTCAGCAAAACTGTAATAGATATTTTAAAAGGATCAAATATTTTCTCTTGTTAGATGGAACCTGAGAATGTTGGATATGGTGAATGGAAATCTGTACCACATGAGAAGCAGGACAACCGCCGTCAGGGCAACCAGAGATATCATCCATACCCCCAGCAGCGAGGTCACTACAATGAAGATTTTAAACAGGATTTTGATGAGTCATATCAAGAGCTTGGTCACATTCGAGATTATAACCATGCTCCTCTACGTGGGCCCAACCAAGATCGTGGTTTCATTCGAGAATATAACCATGTTTCTGAACAAGGATCTAACCAAAATTATGGACAAGGTTCCCGCCAAGATTTTGGACAAGGGCCCCGCCAAGATTATGATCGACGTTCCAACCAGGATTTTGGACAACCGTCTAACCAGGATTATGGACGACTGTCTAACCAGGATTACGGACAACCAACTAGCCAGGATTATGGACACGGGTTAAATGAAGGTCGTGGACTAGAATTTGAGAGCAGTCGTAGAGTGGGGTTCGAGGAAAGTCGTGGGCTAGGATTTGACAGAGATCATGGTCTAGGACTTGAAGGTTGGGGACTAGACTTTGAGGAAAGTCGTGAGCGACGGCTTGTTGAAGACCATGGACACTGGTTTGATAAAAGTCATAGGATAGGATTTCATGAAGGTCGTGGATTAGGGTATGTCAGAAATCGTGAACCAAGGTTTAATGAAGGTCGTACACGAGATCATGGACAAGAGTCCAGCCAGAGTTATTCACAAGGATATGGTCATCATTACAAGCAAGGCTATAATGAATCTCGAAGGCAAAATTACAGGGAAGACAATTATTACCGATATTGAACTCTGGTTTAGTGTTTTTGTAAATGGCTCTGAGAAAATGTTGGTCAAGAAAATCAACTGTAAATGCTGATCCTGCTGATGTTCAAATATATCTTCAGTTACATTGTAAATATTTTATTACAATAAAAAAAAACTAATGTAGGTGCACACACAATGAAATTCTCGTGTGATTCCATAATTAATATCACATAAAAATGTATCATACAAGTAATACTGTAATGTACTGTACTCTACAGCAAAATGAGAGTAGCAGCTTGTAGTATCAGTGTGTAAGAAATATGAAGATGTCGGTCACTTAAATCTTAACTTTGTGTTGCATAGTAAATAAATTCAATTTTTATTGATAACCAAAAAAAAAAAAGGTCATTTTAATTCTTCAACATGTAAACAAGGACTCTTGAGTTGCATAATGAAATTTGCTTGACAAGTTTACACCACCAGTAGATGATAATATTTACAGGTTCATAATGAAAATGCATATATTTTCTCCACTCTTTCAAGCATTTTTATCCTATTATGTAGGCTGGCTACAACCAAAGAGAAACATCAACAATACACAGACTGCCATTCTTTAAGTATAATAGATGTGTTTTGCATAAGAACAACTAAAAAAGGTAATTACAGGTGCTCCTCTACTTAAGAACGTTCAACTTACAAACTTTCAGAGATACAATCATCACTACTGAGGGGGGTTACCTGTCAGAACACTTGTTTAATGTGGATGAGACTGGATTATTTTGAAGAAAATTCCAGATAGAACAAACATTACCTAAGAGGAGAAAAGTGAGCCAGGTTTTAAAGCTGTATTAAAGGGTATAGCTGTACTAAATATCCATAATCTTTTAATTTTTTACAATATGTTTGGTATCTACAAGAGTAAAGTTGGACTTACAAACAAGCCTCAGGAACGTAACTCGTTCGTAAGTAGAGGAGCACCTGTACTGTATTGTACTCAGAAAAACCTGTCATAGTTTACATCAAATAATGATATTACATACTTGGTCAACAGAGAACAAAGGGGTAATTGAGCAAAGTTTTTAGTACAGTACTATACTATTAAATGTAATAACCACAAGTCTTTTACTGTCTTTGTGAATAGTATTTAATATGACCATCTCAGTTTATGAGGAATATTACAGTCCACTGGTGTAAAGTTGATGAACCATTTTTAAGATACAGTACTTTGGTCTACCATCAATCTCATACAGTACTTTAACCTGAACAGCCTGAGGCATATGCTGTAATGTGAAGTATCATTTGAAATAAGGTACAGTACAGTAAACTCACCTTTCATTTCCCGAGTGATGGTAATTGAATGGTAAAATAACACCTAATTTACAATATTTCTAATAGTGTACAATACACAGGTATATAATATTTATTACCTTTGCTGCTGGCCGTTCAGGCTAAAGTTTTGGTTGGGTAACAAGCCAAAATGATTTATTTTAAATGTAAGTGTAAAACCACCATAGTGTTTATGCAAGGAAAGTACATATTTTTATTTTTTCATCATTGTTTTCAGTTCACACATTACCCAGGTAAGTGCTGCATTTTTACACATGTCTTGCTGTTGCCTCTGTGCATATGGTACACTTATATTTGAAGGCACCTTGAGGAAAACAAAGTGACACTGATTTACTCTGAAAAATTCATTGAGGCCAGACATTAATGTAACCGAGTGAATCATAAGTGCATATAAGCCATATGTTTTTATACATGTTGAGCATCAGTGAACTGGATCTTGAGTTAGCATTTGCCATGACTAGGCATTCACACAAGAGGTAACTTGAGGTAATTTCATTCAGATCTTGTAATGTAAACTCTTAATCCATATTTTTTGCAAAGTTTAAGAATTTATAATTAACATTTAAGAAACTATTTTTTTTCCTAAAATTCTAGCCTGCTGAGGGTGTAGGCGGAACTCTGAGGAAATGCCAAGTAATTGCAATATCATTAAGGTTTCATTGCAATAAATTTGAGGTATTTCCAACTTTTATTACTAACCCAAAACTTTGATTATAACTGTTATAAATACCAGTTTCCTATATCTCTTAAGTAATAATCTGAAGTAAAAACCAATCTGACATGTGGTGAAATGCCCCCTTTAGTTACTTAAAACTAATATAAAAAGTTTTCTAATAAATGAGTCGGGTTTTGTCCCAGCATCCAAGCATTCAGTTAACAAGAAAAGGCTCCTGTTAATTTCCATGCAATGTTTTTCCCCAGGGAAAATGTTCCAATCTGCATGGTAGTTGATCAGCCTCCACCACAGCAGGATTTAATTATTCCAATACAGGCAGTCCTGAAGTTAAAAACAGCTGCGCTTACGAACAGAATCCCAATGCAGTACTGTACTGTAACTAAAATTCCATTTTTGTTACTGTTATTTTATATTGTTTAACATCACTTTATTTACAGTAGTCTTAATATAATTGTTGTTTTGTATGGGCAGGGTTGTGCTTTAACCTAACCTATGGAATTAAACCGTATGTATTCCAGCTTACGAACAGATTGACTTATGAATAGGGTCCAGGAATGTAACCTGTTAATAATGCAGGGACTGCCTGTACTGTATTAATGTTCTATATTATTATTATTAATTTAAAAAAAAAAATTCAAAAAAAAGGGGCATTACTTTTAAATAGGCAAAGAAAAGTTTCAACAGAACTGAATTTTCCATCTATAGGAGCCTTACCTATACCAACAATACCATTAATTGGAGGGTTTATTGCATATAAAAATGGGTATTATTACATGGCCTAATTAGGTTTATTTTATTGAAACGAAGACAAAAAAGTTTTCATTCCTTATGATATTTTGAAAATTTTCTAAGGACTTTTTTATTATTAAAAACAAAGTGTGCTTTGTTTTTTATTTAGTTCTTTATGAAACACATATATAAATCTTATGTTGAAAAGAACAAACTAATTGGCAATTTATTTGCAGGTACCTCAAACTTACAGCTCACATGGTGCTGAGCCTTGAGTCTTTAACTGCTGCTCTGGACAAAAATATTGTTCAGTGTAATACTCCTCAAACTGTACCCTGGTGTTCATGAGTTGTCATTTGAAGAATTGTTGCACATATCAGCACTATTTAATTCCTTCAATCATGGTAAGCTTGAAGTGTGGTGATGGCAAGAGGAATGCCTTTCAAAACTTGTGTGGAAGAATTTGTAATTAGCACAGAAACATAGTCTCCTGGTTGGATTTTTCTTGTGCATCTGATATCTTTGTCTTCTACTTCAACATCTGGGAAGATTACCTGTTCAACAAATATAGTGTATGAGTAAACAATTTAAATTTTGCTGACAAACTTACTTTTCTTCATGTGGTAATATTTAGCATACTCTTGAGGAAAAAAATTCTATTCACTGAAATAAACTAGAGGGTTATATTTGCAGAAACAAGAGGCTTTTCTTTATAAGAAATGTCTCAGGCTGGGATCTGATAAGATTTCTAGAGTGCTTAATCTTTTTAAAGGCTAAGGTTTTGATCCTAGACCTTCGGATGAAAGATGAAGTATCCCCACTAAACATGAATATAAAAGGAATACTACATTCTTTCTTGAGATATAGCATTTTCAAAATCAGCCATTTGTAGTCTTTCACAAATTAACACTTGGGGTTTTTATAAGCAAATTTGCATACGATCTAAACTATCACTTTAGGGTTTTTATACACCCTTTGTGGTTCAACAGCACAGGACGTAACTTTGAACCACATTTTCCAACATTTTCTCGTGGCTTGTACTAATTCCTCGTTCATCACAGTGATTTCATTTATTGTCAGTGTTGTGATAGTTTTGAACCATGTTGGCGAAGGTGGAGGAGTGGGAAAATGCAAAAAGAAATTGCACCACATGGTGACAGTGTGGTGCCTCCTGAGGAGAGGCCTCTCCCAGTGTCCCTGGCCCTTCTAGTGCAAGTACTGTAATAGTTTGTCTGGCACTTCAACAAGCAGTTCTAGTGTGAAAGGAACTACCCGGCATGTCGTTGTGGTTAGAGGGAAAGTGTTGCCTATGTGGTATCTCAGCCATCGTAACATGACTTGCCTCGTGACCACTCATCTTACTCACAAGTGCTCACTACCAGTCCTCCCACTAAAACTAGATTTAGTCACCTTGTTCAGGCTAAGTACGGCACTGTGGGGCACGGTGGAGGAGGGGAAAGAGCAGAAGGGGTGAGAACATCAAGTGCTCCAAAATCTAACATGTAAGTAAAGTAATTCATTTATTTTCATAAAAAAGTGGATGTAATATTTGTATACATCACATTTAACCAATAATTTACAGTTATTATTTAATATGAAATTCGAAAATAATAAGCATTTGTAAACACATTAGAATATGTATAATTTTTTAAAAATATAGAAGCTATGAGTGAGGAACATATGCATTTGGGACCTTGAGTGGCAGCCATGCACTACAATTTGTGTTGATCTCGTGCCTACGTATAGATTTAATCATTTTACTGTGATTACCCATATAAAATATTTGTAGAAAATGAATTTACAATGCTAATGTATCAAATGCTACCTTTTTATCTCCAATAGTAAGCTTGTTATGACTCAAAATGTACAATGATCTTTTGCGCTCGGAGGGAAAAAAATTAATAATCTGTACTGTACTTGGTCTGAGCGTGCTCGCCAGAACACACAATTTACAACACTTACCAAATGAAATATAAATTTTTTCACATGAAATAACGAAGGTAGAAAGTGATGTACAGTACAGTATAAACATTTTCATTATGAGTAAAGAAATTTTTTTTTTTCTACTCAGACTTACGTATAGAAATAATTATTTTATCGTGACTAATTAAATAAACCTGTTTGTAGATAATTTATTTACATTGCATAATGCAACAAACCCCAAATTTTTATCTCAAATAGCAAACTTGTTATGACTCATTACGTACAATTATCTCTTGTAGTGCAGTCAAGTGAGGCGCTACGCGTCAGAAGGGGGTGCTAGCAAAATTCGAAAACCACCATAACACATTGACACTTATATAGTACTAACCATTGGACTAATAAAAAGAAAAAATATTTAAACATAATGGTGGAAACTAAAATGAGTGAAAAAAAATTCTAAAATTCTTGATACTGTATTCCATTTTTTATGAGCCTTATTATTACTCATATCCATTTTTTTCAAAATCATTAATATTTTTTATTTTATTTTTTGTGTGTGGAAAAGAGAAACCAATTATATACAGAATGTACAGTAAAGTAGGTTGTTTTATGCAAAAGAAATGAACCAAAAAATATACTGAAAGAAAAAAAAATATCGTGCGGCTCTTCCATCAAAAAGATAGGTGTGGCTATTCCGTCACAAGAAGGCCACTACTTACTCCATTCACTGGAAGGAGGGATGTTATTAATAAAGTGGTGCTAAAGATTGTAATAGAAAATTTCATATCTTACCCTTGTGTTGCCATCATTTCTCCCAACAAGATCCAGATTTGATCGCTTACTGGCTCCCTCCACTAATATCAGTTGCTGCTGCCCAACCTGTTGGTAATAAAAAAAAGCACCATATATTCCCTATTGTCATTTCAACTTTGTGATCATAAATGCAAAAAATTAGCAATACTTTACAGTACCACACAGTGTTAGTTTCCCCCACTATTAAACTAGTAACGGTACAGTAATAAGATGGATAAACTAGTAGTAGATATTTCTTATAAAATCTCACTAATTTACATCACACACACACACAGCTTTTAAATAAATAAAAATTAAGTAATTATTACATATTTCATGAACTAATATTTTATGCACATGATCACACATGTAAGTTGATAAAAATAACCACGTGTTTGTGCTCAATATAATGCTTTCAGAGCCAGAATGGTACACATAATAATATTAATAAAAACTTATTCAGAGTCCGCTGTCTGGTCTTTACTGTAATAATTGAATAAGCCTAAAAAAAAAAAAAAACTCACCTGCATTCTATTAATCTTAGCAACTTCAGTACGGAACAACCCACACATTCTTTGTAATCGGTCGAGTTTGACTGAGTGAGGAACATCATCCACTAGTTTACGGTGTGCTGGTGTCTTTTCACGGAGACTGAAAAGAGTAATTAAGAATACAGATATACAGGGGTATAGACAATCTGCAAATTGATTCCGATAAGTATGTTTGTTATTTTTTTGGGGGGTATGTATGAATAAATGAGGGGAAATATGCATCACTATGTAAAACCTGTTTAAGATTTAGTTGTATGAGATGTATTACTCGTGTATTTCATTAAAAATCTATCTTGGCAAATCCATAATTCATATGCTGCATACTCATTCTTTTTACATTTTCAAGCTTTTTTCCAGCTTTAAGCAGGCCAGCAGGGTGGTTGAAAACAAAAGCACATACAGGTACATCTTTCCCCTCCACTTATCATTCATTCATTTTTACAGCTGTAAAAGATAAGAGTTCAGCTACATTTCTCCCCTTCCACACCAAGGACCAAAATTTTTTTTAAAAACAATACAGTCTACCTACTGTACTGGACAAATATTAACAACAAATATGATTTCCAAGGTATCAAAGTTCAGAACTTCAATACTGTATACAGTAGAAAACCAGTTATCCAGGCAAATGGTAGATTCAACTAACCAAAATGAAATAATACAAATTTAAAATCCCCAAAATCAGCTAGAATCGTAAGTTTGAATGCCGCACATAACAGGGATGAGCTGCTATATTTATTACTATGATAAACAATAAAAGCGATACACAGCATAAAGCTACAATAACACATATTTTATATACAAAAAATAGTTCCTTCCACACTCCAACCATCCTCTCGGCGAGTCAGGGCAACGCCACACAATTCAGGCAGTCACTCAACTGACTCACAGACGTGTGACTGCCACGATGGCTGTGTGTATGTCGTGATGTCACATCGTGAGGAAGTGCAGCCACACAGTTATAGTCCAGTAATGCACATTCACTTCCCACATATGCTCTTCATTTTTCTTATTTTACAGTTTTATATTATATTTTTATTTCTGAGCCACATTAGAAAATTGGAATGATTTTTCCTCAACTTTTATAGTTTCATTACAAGTAACAATATAAGAGGCAGCTGGGCTGGCGAGTCGGTGATGTAGTTATAGCCAAGGTCTTGGCTATAACTACCTCCACACACGTTTACTTCTCACACATACATACCCATGCTCGCCATTTTTCTTGTTTTACAGTTTTATATTATACAGTAAACAATGTGTATTTGCTCGAAACAAGGCTAATAAAGTACTTGGGTTCATACAAAGGAGTGTTAGTTACAAGACTAGTGAGGTCATCCTAAAACTACAGTATATCTTGCACTTGTGAGACCTCACTTGGATAACGCAGTTCAATTCTGGTCACCGTATTACAGAATGGATATAGAATCAGAATCCTTGGAAAGAATTCAGAGGAGAATGATAAGACTAATCTCAGGCATTAGGAACCTTGAGTACAAAGACAGGTTAAAGCATCTTAATTTGCACTCCCTCAAGAGACGTAGGGTGAGGGCGATATGATAGAGATGTATAAATGGAAGTCAGGGCTGAACAAAGGGGACATTACAAAGGTACTCAAACTATCCAACCAGGAGCGAACTCGTAACAATGGTTTTAAATTAGACAAATTTAGATTTAGGCGCGAAATAGGTAAACATTGGTTTGGAAATAAGAGTAGTGGACGAGTGGAACAAGTTACCAAATATCATCATTAACTCGAATATGCTGGATAGCTTCAAACATAGGTTGGATGGATATATGAGCAATAGGGGTTGGGTGAAATTGGGACTGCCCAGTATGGACCAATAGGCCCGCTGCAGTTTCCTCCATTCTTGTGTTCTTGTGAGCCATCCCTGTTATTAAATCAAAATTTCCGCTAAATTGAGCTCTCAGTCAACTAAGTATACACTGGAGTAACCTTAGCTTTCATCTTTATTCAAGACATCTTCAGAGGCAACTGAATTTACAGGGATGGAATGTCAGGTCATCTTTTCTTGGGTGGGGGATTAGTGGGTCTCATGACCTGAAGATGTCTTGAATAAACACAAAAGCGAAAGTATTTTGGGGGGAGACCTGACCTGATGCAATGTCAGGTGGAGGTAGGGTAGGGGATTAGTGGTCTCATATTACTGACCTTCTGATGGAATGTCAGGTCACCCTTTCTTGGGTGGGGGTTTAGTGAGTTTCATGACCTGAAGTTGTCTTGAATAAACAGAAACCTGAAGTATTTTTAGGGAGATTGTGATAAGTCTAAGTATAAATGAGCAAAGTTGTTTCACTTCAACATAACATTACATAACATTTCAAAATATGGAGTGAGAAAGCAGAAAGGTGCGAGTGATTAGAGAGATGAAGTGGAAAGGAGCGTTGCCAAGCGCTCCTCAACAGCTGATATTTAACGCGCTACCATGCAGTCACACGGATGACTGGAGCCGGTGGGAGGGGAACCTTTGGGGGGAGGGGGTCTGTGCGATCAGTTTTCTCCCCTCCTTCCTCACTCAAGCGTGGCTAATTGTGATAAGGAAACACCACCAGTCTCTATGTACAGAACTAAACAAAGAATTTATTGGAAATACTCTGTAACATTCGATACCATAATATCCTGGCCACTGGGGTTAGTTATACAGACTTTTCCCTGTGATAAAGCCATAATTTTGAGTAACATTACTGTACTCACGTACTCAAATGTACTAAGCTAAAGTTTTAAAACATTTATTTCTTGTGTAAACTATGAGATGTTATACTCAAATTAATCGCTATCTTACAAGGATTCCAGCAATGCAAGTTATATTCTGCTAAATCAAGTCAGTGACATTTTATAAGAGAAAATTTTAAGCTTAAAACAACTTCATCCTCTAAAATCATTACCACCTGCTGGCTGGGAGGAGGGGTGTTGACAGCCAGGAGGGGAGGTTACCAGGTAGTTGTCAGTGGAGAGGGGATGGGTCAGGGACTCAGGAAAAAATTATACAAGACAGGGAGTTTAAGTTTTTTACTTAAATGTGGGCAATAGGTTTGGTAGAGGGGATGGAATGTATCCCTTTATTTTCCATTGAAATATAGCCCCTAAAAGCCAATTTTGCTATGTCAAAATTCGCCAGGAACACATCTGTCAGCATTTGCGAGAAATGGCTGTATTTATTTGAATGAAATGGCTCGTGTAAGTTTTGAAAACAGTTAACACTGGTTGGAAGTCTTGGTTCTAAGAATGCTCAAGTCACTCTCAGAACGGAGATTCTGACCCATTTTAACGTATTTTAGAGAGTACGTAATACAGAATGGAGAAAGAAATAATGGTGTCTTCTTATGGTAGAAACAATATTGCCATAAAAATATATACAGTATGAACGGTAACACAAACTTTGTTCACATTTCCCACCAATTACTACTACAAATCCAAAACTATTACTTTCATTATTTATCTACTGTGGTGAGTTTCTCGTAAACATTTTTCAAAACAAAAGGACAGCACACTGTTTTTCCTCATCAGTTTCTTACCTGTATGGAAAGAGGAAGCAAAAGTTGTATTTGACTTGTTGAATTAGGGACAAAGTTTCCTGAAACTCTTCTTCAGTCTCGGAGCAAAAACCACAGATGAAATCTGAAGACAGGGATACATCTGGGATGATGGACCGAATGTGAATTACCTGAGATGAGAAATGAGCCAAGTGATAATTGGATAAGTTGAAAAAATAATAAAGTGGGAAGTGGGAAAATACTGTAAAGTTCAATGTTTTAATTAAATGACAAGTTTTATGAAGACAAAAAAATTCCACCATTGTACTGTACTGTACAGGCAGCCCCTGATTTATTAAGTACCTGTACAAATTTATACTGTACTGTATAAGGTTTTTCTGGAACAAAACCTTTACGTAAATTTAGGGATGCTTGTATGGTACTACTGTCCCGTATAGTGAGTAACTATTTCTCATAAAATATAAATAGAACCATAAATCGAGAAAAAATTATAATCCAGACTTTAAAAAAAAATGTGCACAGTACAGTATATTGTACAATACTCACTAGCTCACAATATGCTTCCCTTGTGTAGCCTCTTCTCATGAGTTCCAAGATTCTTGTACTTCCACACTGAGCTGGCAAGTGAATATTCTTACAAATATTGTCTTTCTCTTTAACCAGGTGTAATACTTCATCTGGGAAGTCCTTGGGATGAGGTGAGGTAAATCTAATACGCATTTCAGGATCAATTTGAGAAACTTTGTCCAATAGATCTGCAAATCTCAGCCCACCCTTTTTGGGTTTGTATATTGTTTTAAATCCTTTAACTACATGGGTTTTCTCATCTTTATCTATTGAAAAACCAGCATGCTGTATTTGGGAAACATCTCGATAACTATTCACATTTTGGCCTAAAAGGGTTATTTCTTTTATTCCTTGATTTGATAAATACCGCACTTCTTCTACGATGGAGTCAACATTCCGTGAACGTTCTCTTCCTCGAGTAAAAGGCACAATACAGTAAGTGCACATGTTGTCACAGCCACGCATTATTGAAACAAAGGCAGACATCCTATTTGCTGACAAACTCACTGGCACCACATCAGCATAGGTTTCTTCCAGAGAAAGCAAAACATTGACTGTTGCTTCACCTGTATCAAAGACAGAAAATATTGATTATAGTCCAATACTGTACAGTCAACCATACATAAGGAAATAGTTCTAAATGAGCTCTGCACTGTATCAAGGTGCAAATATATTATGTTGAAGCTGTAGTGCTTGTACAGTACCTAAAATCTTGACTGAATCTTTTTGTTAATCCTACCTTAACATATGCAACTAGATAATTGACTGATTGATTTTATTGGTAATTCATCACATGTACAATAAAATACTGTATACCTGTACTGTGCTGCTATAGTGTGCGGTCTACAAACACTGTATACCTTTAGTCTAACCCAACCTGACCTGACCTAACTAAAATATCTTGTAGACCACATGCTGTAGTAGCACCTTGTATACAGTACTGTAATTAGTTTAAAAGTAAGTAAACACTCTTTTCATTATTACATAATGATAATATTAGGTTGCTCTCACTTCAAATTTTGTTTAAATTACACCACATCGTTTCAACAAAGTTGCTTTCATTGGTAACAGATATCAGAGTAAATACTTTCTGTTTATTGTGGCAGTGGGGTCCAGGTGGCTCCGGAAGTTAGGTAAGGTAGGTCAGGTTTTATTAAGTTCTGTGCACTGCCGTATAATTTTTATTAATACTATCCAAAAGTCTGTTGAAAAAATGAACGAAATCGAACAACACGTTCTGGTGTTACCCATCTGCTCCAGGATTACCATTTAATTAAAGTAACTGTCATCATCTTTGCTCAAGATATTAGATATTTGGACCCATATTCTGGAACGGGGTGGTAATATCGACAATATTTACCTAGATTTTGCCAAGGCTTTCGACAGTGTACCCTACGAAAGGCTGAAAATCAAACTGGAAGGGTACGGAATTCGGGGAAATGTCCTAGCGTGGATAGAAGACTTTCTACACGACCGCAAGCAGTGTGTGGTGATTAATGGCACGAAATCATCATCCGTACCTGTCACAAGCGGGGTACCACAGGGCAGTGTATTGGGCCCGCTGCTGTTTGTTTGTTTCATAAATTCATAAATGACATGCCTGACGTTGTACACTCCTTCATACAAATGTTTGCCGATGACTCCAAGTTATTTCAGGATATCAAGAACCAAGCAGACTGTGAAGAGCTGCAGAAGGACCTCTGTGGGCTCCAAGAATGGTCGAAGAAATGGCTGCTGAGATTCGATGTCACAAAGTGCAAGAGGATGCACCTGGGGCGTACCAACGGTAAGGAGGCGTATCATATGTCCCAACGGGATGAAGAAACTGCACTATTTGAGACAATGTGAGAAGGACCTAGGTGTGTATGTTCACAATGAGCTGAAGTTCTCAAGCCACTGTGAGAAGAAGGTAAATCAGACAAATAAATTACTGGGTCTTATAAGGTTGTTGTTCAGATATCTAGACGGTCTGTCCCTCGTAACGATCTTCAAGAGTGAAGTGCTTCCCCATCTGGAGTACTGTCACCCCGTCTGATATGCTAGGGACTGTCAGTTGGTTGAAAATGTTCAAAGGAGGGCCACCAGACTGGTGCCTACACTTCGGCACCTCAGTTACCCTTAGAGATTGGAGCGTCTGAACTTGCCTAGCTTATACTACAGACGGGCAAGGGGTGACCTAATTGAGGTGTATAAGCATCTCAAGGGGCACTACTCAGTCGAGTGTCCTTACTTGGAGCTGGCGGACGCTCGCCCGACAAGGGGTCACAGCTCAAGATTGAAGAAGCCGCAAGTCCAGAAAACTGTGAGGGCAAACTTTTTCGGAGTAAGAGTTGTAAACTCTTGGAACAATCTACCAGAAAGTGTTGTGACGGCACCAAGTGTGAGCTCTTTCAAGACCAGACTTGGCCAACACTCGAGCAGGTTCAGGTACATTCAGGAGCCGGTGCATGCCCAGTACTTGCCAACAGTGCGTAACAGAGACGTGACCGATCGCCCAAGCGGCTAACGAGCCGATCAGTGGTGAAGAGGATAAAAGTAAGTAAAAAGTAAAAGTAAGTTGCTGCTGCTGTTGTTGTTTCTTATTAATGAGTATGAAACCAAATAGCATTACTGTACACTAATGTAATGAAACATTTGGACAATGACGATACATTTTGATGCTCAGATAAGGTAAACAATGATGGGAGCACCAGCACAACACGTTTCTTTAAAAGGAGGAAAACTGGGGACAAAAACCTGATTTGCTTTATTCTTGAGGTACCAAATAAGTTTTTTCTACAGTACTGTACAGTATAGATATTTTTTCCTTATGTGGCTGGATAACCTAGACCATTGTCCTTAAATATTACATAAAAATTAATTTTTACAAAACCAGTAAGACTGTAAAAATGTCCCATAATACAAGCTGATAACCTACCCCCATCAGCGAGTGATAGCAGCCTTGGAAGATCACGGTAACTGTCAGGACCGGCCACAACATCTATACTCTTCTCTTTTTCTATCAGTTTCTTCTTCAGTCTCTCAGCCATACACCCCAGGACTCCAATCTTCATTGGGGTAGTTTTCTTGTTCATCGCTCGCTTGTTTTTTAGGCCTCGTAGGTGGTCCAGTTTGTTCCACACCTTCTGTTCTGCTCCTTCTCGAATAGAACACGTCATAACCAATACAACATCTGCTTTATCCCTCTCATTGGTACGTACATAGCCATGATTCTTGAGAATCGACCAAGCCACTTCAGTATCACTTACATTCATCTGGCAACCATAAACATCAAAGTATACCTTGCGGCCATTACCATCAATGTCTGCAACATTAACGTATGGGTGAGATATTTTTTCTAGGTCTCGTCTGGAAAGAACCTTTCTCTGGTCGCCATCTAGAGTATTATTGGATTGCTTATTATTGGCTATAAAGTGTTCCAGGCCGGGACCCATCTGGATTTGTTTCTTTTTCTCATTTGTGTCAACAGTAATGCCATGTGTGTGAACTGAGGAAGAGTGACCTACTTCACGCTTTATTCTTACTTCATACTGTCTCAATACACTACACCCTGAAGTATTAATAACGGAGACGGTAGAATAACATAAATAAGGTAATAATACACTTTCACTTTTTTTAAGGGAAAATTTTTGTGAGAGGCGGTATAACTTATTTAATCCCTTATTTGGCCATGTAGGAACGCTATGAATGTTATGTGCTGTCACTGTGAGTATTCTGGATGCTTTGAAGGAACTTGTAAGTCGACCACCAAGACACAACTCCAACATCTTTGCTTTATGGGAGTAGCAGAAGACACAGTAGGGTTAACGACCCTAGCGGCCACAGGATAACAATAACAACAATAGATCAAATGCTAAAATATTACATATATTTATCATTAGAAAACATTTTATGCTTAAAAATATAAATTATTCCTAGAACCGAGTACTGAACTATAAACGCGTTATCATATGAGTGAAGTAATTAAATCAATGAATGAAATATGATTTGTCTGATACTCATGTTTAGAAATATTGTTCATGTATTAGCTTACAACAAAAGTTTAAGGGGCTTTTGTTACCTTCAGGAAACAAAGACCCACTCCCACGTTTTATTAAAATTTCGTTTAATATTGTACTGTTTGAAAATGTAAAGAAATACAGTCCGATAGACAATAATAAGAAGAGGAGGAAGGTAAATATGTCTCTTATACATGTGACCGTGACAGTAATGATAGGGGTGATTTTTTAAACTATTCTGCACGCTGATTACTTCCACTTTATTAATTTTCTTTAGGGTTGGACCGATTAATCTAGCCAATTAGTTGAAGTTTAATCTTTGTAATTGGTAAATATTCGTTCATTGGCTGTTCTCAGGTTTTGGTATTGGAATATTTATTTTATTTATTTTTTTTTACGTTTTTCGGTGTTTTACCTAAATATGACCTTCAGTTTTTGGTGCAAATTAGCGTTAAAAAAAATTATTTTCATTTTTAACAAACATAATTTGCACAAAAATGGAGGTCAGTTTGGAGTTAAAAAATATATAAATATTCTCATACCAAAGGAACCAACCAACCAACCTACCTACCTAACCTAACCTACAAGGAGGAGGAGGAAAAGAGGAGACAACTGACTCTAAGTGAGGAGTATAACCTCGTGTAAACATGGCGGGAACCTGCAGACAGCCAATGGACGAATATTAACCCTGTAATTTCATATTTACCGTTATAAGATATGGGGTATGCCCATTTCATCACCAACCCGTTTCGTCACCACTGTTTTCAAACCGTTCTGTCACCACTGCTTTACCCGTTTCATCACTGCGTTCATTCTCATCAATATATACAAGAAAATAACAAGGCATGAGATAGAAAAAAACCCCAGACATTATGTGGCTAAAAAAAAAAAAAAATGTATATATATATAATAAAAATCATCTCACTTAAACATTATGTGAAAGACTAAAATTTACTCATGCAAACTTGGCAGAAGACAATGAAATTTTCTTTAGGAAATTAGGAGTACAATAGTCATATTTTTTCTTCATATTCATCCACAGCTTCCAGAGATGAACTTGTTTGTCATAATTTGCTTTTCTTGTGCACGATTTTAGCTTATGCTCAGCAACTAGTTGTATTTGCATAGCAACCATTGAGGCTTCTCTGTGAAGAAGAAGGTAGAGTGAGATTGTTCTTTGCTGCACTGGTGTCAAATCACCTTCATTTGTTCTGTATTTTGTTTATTTACCAATGTTTTAATCGTTTTCTTTATTAAATGATTAATATTCATGAGTAATAATAACAATACTTCTCGAGTCGTCTCTATACCTGTGTAATTTCTATTCTTGTAAAATAATAACTTACAGTTTGTCACTAATACCAGCGACTGTTAGTGGTGACGAAACGGATTTGATATTGGTGACGAACCGGGTTGGTGATGAAATGGGGTGTATCCTAAGGTATTAATGTCAGTATGATGATCTAGCCAAAACTCTGATGCCTCTCCAAAGCTTTTATTTCTAGCAAGTTCCTTTATAAATGTATATTAGTTACATTATTTATATTAGTTTCATGTGCTCCTTCTATTTTTACTCCATTTCCCATATTATGGAACATATTCAAAATATAGACAGGCAGAAAACAATGATAATAAGAGAACAGATTCTTTCATCTTTTTACTTTTTCATAAACAACAACAAAATTCTTTATTTCAAACCCTTTCTGATGTTGTATGTCTGGTTTACCTAACTTGAACCAAAAAATATTGTGTTACCCCATTGATATCAAACGAAGAATCAATCATGATTAATCAACCAAAGTAATATAAAATTCAACTTCAAATTTATTTTATAGTATTCAACATAAATATTACTACAGCTCTAAATTTAGAAAATGAAACATAAAATTGCCTTTTATCGCAGTCAAGAAATGTGAAATATTTCAACTTTTATATTACAGCACATCAACATTCAATGTACAAGTCTACATAGGCCAAAATTTTTTAAATTTCTGGCTAAAGCTGATGGTTATACGGTGTTGGTGTCATGTTTTCTTGCAAGTGTATGTTTAGGCAAATGCGATTTTTTTTTTTTTTACACGAATTAGCCCACCCGGACACAGGTCGAACGTGGCGAAAAAATAAAAACAGAAAGAAATTAAAAATAGTGAAGAAAAAGGTTATACTGTGTTAATCTACACCACGAAGATGCCAGAAAACCAGCTTTTTAAAGTGAGACTTATTGTATAAGCATGGAAACACAGAAGAAGGCAGAGCATTCTGCAGTTTGGCTGTGTGAGGAAAGAAGGATGTACTATATGTTTTTGTGCTACTAAAAAAACAAAAAACATGCAATCAACACGTACGTATTTTTTATTAGAATTAAAAGTAAAAATTGGTATTTAAAGTTACAAACTATAATTATATTTAGACACTGAGGTCCCAAACAGACTGTTACTGAGAAGTTAGGATAGGGCTTGAGAGGTCAGGTAAATTTTGTTCTCACTACCATTTCTATTAGCATCTAGAATGACCACAAAGAACAAGAGAAATGGGAATACCCCGTATCTTAACAAATTGCAACCAGGATGTACTGTACAGAACAAGATGTTACCAGTTACTACTACACAAAACTAGACTTTATAAGGGTGGGAAATCACTAAAACCATTTGCTCTATATAAGAGATGGCAGGTGGGCAGCAAAACTAAGTCAAAAATAATATTAGGGTGATGTCTTTAACTTTGTGGTACCAATAACTTCATGAAGATTAATCAGATTTCAAATTCTTAATAATCTGCCATTAAATATGGTATTACAAACCCTCGATCAGATTCACTCCCTAATATCTTAAGAGCGGACCAGCACGATGATCATCACTGGAGATGTGATGCTGTTCAGGATTTCTTACAGCTCGAGATCTTACACTTGGAGATATTAAATTACTTCCATATGATCATTTTTTTGCCATGTTTTACCCAGAAATTTTGCTTTTCTTTCATGCCCTACCCACTACAGATGATCGAAAGGTGGTGGAAAACAAAACAAAATTAAAGGAAAAAGTTGTCATATTGTTTTTATTTCTGTACTACATATCATCCAACAATACAGTACTGTATCTCTGGAAAAAAATCAATCAATTCTATAAACTCCTTCTGGTGTTAACCATTTACTCCATTATGTTTTTCCTACTGGTAATGGTCCTCCAACTATCATAATCAGCCCGTGCCATTATACCACTTGACCTGTTGTTGACATACAAACACATGCAGCAATACTTGACGGCTAGCTTGAGGAAATTTCTCTATAGAAGGTGAATGTCTTTATACTGTGAGAAGATGACAAAAAATGTACAAGAAGTAGATTTGTATACTGTAATATAAATTGTACAATTATTTCATCTTGGGTCTACTGAAGAGATGCTGTCAATGTCTGTCTGTGAACCATGTTGGAATATAACAGAACTGTATCTGACAATTTGTAAATCCTCCACACGGATTAGGATATTCTTGAGGTAAGTAACAAGTTTAATTTATAGAATCTTTTTTGTAAAGTTGCTGCATCGAAGGGAACAGTGACCTAGAATATTACATGCTCGTTCGTATGAAAAGTTAGCTGGAAGCATTCGATCGTTTGTGTTTGCATATAAGCAATAGATGGAGTGGCAAAAGGGCATCAGATGAGCACAGTAGATGGAAGACTTATTTATTGGAAGTAAAATATAAATATGATGTTATTCCCAACATAATATTAAAAACAAAAAATCAAATGGTCAAATGTCATCAAGAACTGTACAGTATTATTCTTTCTTTTATTTGTTTTAATACAGTATATCTATACTCTCTTGTCCATACTGAACCAATGTGAACTGGTATGATAATTTTCTTGATTATATATGTTGCTATCTAACAATTTATCTTTCCTTTGCTGTAATGCTGCTCAGTAACAATCACTCCATTAGTATTCAGTGGTACAACTTTTCTAGTCCTGTACAGTATCTTAATATCCTTCTGCACCCTCTGCCAGAAATGCCTGCGATCTACTCGCAGACAAATCTGAGAGAAAATCAGACAAATTTTCGAAGATGAAATACAGGAACATAATTTTTCATTGTTTTGACTGATTATTATTGAATTCAAAGAGGTGCAATTTTTAATTTGCTGCTGACTGTTGTGTCTGGACTCTGAAATAAATATAGCTAGCCTCGATTTAAATTTAATTATGTACAGGAAGACACATTGACCAAGAAAAAAAAGGTGCTAGGCAGGCGGGCACTGACATAAGAAGTGTGGATTTTTTTCCCAGGATTAATTTTCATCAGTGTCGTCATCATCATTCTCTCCATTTATTCTTTAATTCTGTGTCATTTTCATCATTGTTTGCACAATGAACATCACTCAGATATTCAAAAAAACTATAATAATCATCTGGTGGGACTTGTCTTTTATTATTCACAAGACAAGAAACAAAAAAAAATATGATTAATCTAGTGCATCTTTCAACCTGAGCCAGGCCTGTATTGCAGTATTTCTATATTGTAGGTTACTTAACTAAACTTTGATTCTACACAAGTTTCGTATGATTTTTTTTTCTAAATAAACTTTTAAGTTAGTATTATAATTTGTGTATGGGTCAAGATAATATGATAAATAAACCTTGGTATTACAGGTTGTACCTCTCTAGTCCGGCATTCTGTGGTCCGGAAACTCCCGTGGTCCGGAACGATTTTTGTTTGTCCAATAGGTAGATAGGCAGCTTTTTTTTTTTTTTCACTTATCTGAATTATTATAATTATTACAGGAGTATTAAATTTTTGCCCCTAAGGCCCCAATGTGGGTCAGTGACCTATGCCCGGGTGGGCTAATCCCCGTAAAAAACAACAACAACAAAGCCGCGGGAAATTAAGGTTTGTTTACATCCGGCAGTTCGGCTGTTCTCTCTCTCTCTCTCTCTAAAGCTTGTCTATACAGAGTACAACATTTAACCCTTCAATATATATAAGCAGTAGATAAGTGTTGCTTTCATATTCTTATGTAGAGTAATGACGATATGTTTTCACATGTGCGCACTTACATACGCGCAGTCTCACTTTTCTTTTTACCATTAATGGTTAGCTACTTATATTGTTCCATTTATTAACATTAAATAACATTACAGGTACTTCAAACAACCATATTAATTTTTTACATTAATTTTACTACAGCTACAATCAGGGTCTTATTTTCTTCAGTTTTATATGTAGAACCAATCAGTCACTGGTTTTGTAAGCTTTAACAAAAACAATGCTGGCAGCCGTCTCGTCTCCTCCGGTGTTTTAATATTTCACGTATTATTAATAAATTGTATTGTTAATTTTGCACACACAAACATTAATTCAATAAAAACATATTCAGAAACATAAATTAGAATATATATGAACAGTAAATAAGTGTTGCTTTCATATTCTTATGTAAAGTAATGACGATGTTTTCACATGTGCGCACTTACATACGCGATCTCTCTTTTTTTCTTTACCATTATCATTAGCTACTTCTATTGTTCCATTTATTAACATTAAATAACATTACTTAAAACAACCATATTAATTTTACTACAGCTACAACCAGGGTCTTATTTCTTCAGTTTTATATGTAGAACCAGTCAGTCACTGGTTTTGTAGTCAACGAAAACAATGCTGTCTCGTTTCCTCATGTTTTAATATTCTACGTATTATTAATGAATTGTATTGCTCATTTTGCACACACAAACATTAATTCAATCAAAAAGACTTTCAGTAATAAACAACAATGAATCTTTTGTACATAAGAGAAATGACGCTGTTTACAGGATTGTGCACGTCGTCTGAACGTTGGTGGGCTGTTGAAACCCGTCGAAATTCGAGTTTCCGCCGTCAAATTTTTTAAATGCGTTTTTTTTTTTTTGTGTGTTCAAAAAGAAAACGTCGAATTAAAAACTCGCGAAATTTGAGAAGCTACTGTTCGGCATTTAACCCTTCAATATGTCTTCAAAGAGACCATGGAGCAGAGAAAGTGGTGCGAGTGCTTCCAAGCGTAAGCACAAGTCACTATCTATCCAGGAAAGGGTGAACTCCCATGGTCCGGCACCGGTCAGGTCCCGAGGTTGCCAGACTAGAGAGGTACAACCTGTACTATAAACTAGGTAGTCGAAAAAAATCAAACACATTTAACCTGAAATTGTACAAATCGTAGACAAATTAGAAATTTCTGTCAGTGGGCTTCTCCAAAATTGTTTGGTAGACAAGTTAGTTATTAGATAGCACTTTGTTTAGACGCACCATATTAAACGGTAGTTACTCCTCTGCACAGAATACAATACAGTATTTACATAGGACAATCTGAATCATCACTGCTGGTCTCTTTGAAATCACATTGCATAAATAATGCTTCATGATTTTTGTGGTTACACTTAACCACACACTTAAGTGCTTGTACAATGTGTTCTGTGCTGCCAACCATGGAAAAGAACAGAAAATTACCTGAGATATTTACTGGTACTTGAAACTTGAGTAACATTTAATACAGTAATGACTTTTGCAGGATAGAGGTAAGCAACAATAATGGAGTCCAACAAAACCTGCCTTTTTTATGTCAAGCGCAAAAAGAGGTACTGTAAGATGTTAGTGAGAGCTGGACAGCAATACTGTGGGCAGCACTTGGTTGAAGAACATGTTAATGAGGTACAGTAATATAATTTTTTCAGTTTGAAATATAGATAAGTAGGTATATAGTCATCCTTTTATGGCATACAGTGCTAATGAGTAACCTGCAAGACCTACCACTACAAAGTGACCCTAGTAAACCTACCCTTTCCAAGAAGAGTACTGTACAGTATATTACTTAATGGTAGGATGCATGAACTATGTGGCCAGTTTTGTTACGGCAAACATTTGAGTCAGGGTTCAAGTTCAACACCAGTGATCCTGTGGCTAGCCCATTTGACCAGTGAGGTGTTCAGGTCAGAATTTTAAATTATCAGGTAGCCTCATGGTTCTTGAACCACTTTCAGCTGTAGAACTTGGTTTAGACTTAAACCCACTTAGTCCTGCCCTTTGGGTCATGTTCTCGATCACTACTTGTTTGCAGGTGGTCAAACAGAGAAAAGAAATTTGTTTTGCATATATACTGTACAGTAATCGTAGGGAATTTGTTGTGGTACAATGATCAGTAGGCTAAGTGACACAAGTTTTCACCCCAAGTGCTAGAGTTCTTAAAGATACTGTACCTATGCACACAAATCTAGTCTCTTAACCTTTCAATACTGTAAACTGAGAGAAATATCAGTGATAGGCCATTCTCCTTTGTCTGAATGAAGTAAACATTCATATTGATTCAAGTCAGATTTTTATGATTGGACATAAATTCAGTTCACAAGAGATTAAAAGGCCTGCTTGTAAAATATGTTTTGATCAACTTTAACCCAAAGTTGAGTTTCAAAGAATGATATTTTCTGGAGTTATATAAAGAATTTTTTTTCTCCTTATAGCAAAATAATGTTTTTGAAAATAATTTTTGAATACATTTGGTATAGTTTTGGGTAATTTTTAGAGCATAAAATGAGGGATCCTTAAGTAGTTTATTTAATTTTTCTTCATGTTCTTAGCAGTATGTGGCTGTGTAGCATTCATGTTTAATCTGGTCATTTAGTTTATTTATCCCTGTTATACCTCCCAATATCTTCCTTACATTACAGAACAAACACAGATTGAGTAATTGTATTGTTTTGTTTGCTTTACGGTAGGTACAGTACAGTACAGTTGGGTCTTCATTTACGCGGTCAGTTCAACCCGCGGAGTACCGCGTAAAATGAGAAACGCGTAAATGAAATAACAGAACATATGGGATTAATTGAAATAGAGACTGGGCCGACCCCCAAACTCCACTTTTTCCGACACAATACGTACGTTGTAGTAAAAATAATATCTTAACTTTATGATGGTATGCACACACACATAATATAGAAGAGAAATATCGATAAGAGAATAATATACTGTACCAGGTAAAAGAAAAATCAAGGTTTAACACTTAAGTCAAGTCAGGTTAGGTTAGAAAAAAAATCAAGGTTTAACACTCACGTAAGGTTAGGTTAGAGAAAAATCAAGGTTTAACACTTACGCAAGGTTAGGTTAGAAAAAATCAAGGTTTAACACTTACGTAAGGTTAGGTTAGAAAAAATCAAGGTTTAACACTTACGTTAGGTTAGGTTAAACATTTATGTTAGTAGAAGAGATGGGTCGGCGTATGGGAATGGCGGCTGGTTCCGAGGCAGAGGGCAGATTACTGGCCCTCAGGTGAATCACCATCACTATCCACCACAATTGTCAGGGCCTCCCTGACAAATTTCTCAAAGTCCATAGCTTCACTGTCACTATCACTGGCTTCAGCTGGCTGTGGTGGGTTGCGGGCAAAGAAGTCTGTGATTTTACGCTGACGGCTAGTGTTGATGTTGTCGTGATACACCTTGATGTACGGCTCCATAGTCTGCAACAGCTGGTTATTGAAGACTTCATACCGGTTATCGTCATGGTCGTTGGAAAGGATGAGCTTCAGTTTCTCTGCACACTCGATGGCACCCCTAACATTACCGTGCGTTAACTTGCGTTCTTCTCGGGATGACGCACCGCCTGTCTCTTCACTGACGTGATCGTCTTCTAACATCTCGTCGGCAGTCACCTCAGGATCCTTTATCACCTCCATAATGTCGTCGTTGGTGGTCTCGGAGAAGCCTGCAGCTGTAACACTCTGCGCAGCTTCTCTTGCAAGGTCCACTGTCACTGCAACAGACTGAACCTCACCAGTCACAGGTTGACTCTGCCTCCCACCTGGGATACCTTGCAACACATGCCGCCATGCGTGACGAATTGTTGCTACAGACAGCTGATCCCATGCCTCCACCAAGAAATCAACAGCTTTCTTGACGTTAAATTTCTTCCAAAACTGTTTGACGCGAACGTCTTGATCCGCCAACTCTTGTTCCTTGTCCTCGTCGCTCTTGCTATCGGTGTCACCCAGGTTACGCAACTCATCCTTGGTGTTGGTGTAGTCGTTCAGGACCTTAAACTTCTTTGTAGAGAATGCAGCCTTAACGTTGCATATCAACTCCTGGTCCATGGGCTGGTTTAACGATGTAGTGTTGGGAGGAAGAAAGACCACATTTACGTTGGGGTGACAATTCAACAGTAGGGGCGAGTGTCCTGGTGCGTTGTCAAGGAGCAACAAAATGTTGAATGGAACATTCTGTTGCCCGCAGAATTTCTTGACGTCGGGAACGAAACAGTCGTCAAACCAGGATAGGGACAGACCAGTGAACATCCACGCCTTACGTGCGGTTAGCCAGTGGACATTTAGCTTGGTCATGTCCATGTTCTTGTAGGCGTGTGGCTTGCGGGCTGTGTGGATCACCGATAACTTAAGTTTACAGGTACTAGAGGCATTGGTGGTAAGCAAAACAGTGATGCGCTCCTTCTGCAACTTCCGGCCCCGACACTTGCTGGCAGACTTGACAACGAAGGTCTTGGAAGGTAGCTTTTTCCAAAACAGACCGGATTCATCCATGTTGAACACCTGGTCGTCGGTGTACTGTCCTTCCTCCATAACTTCACGTAAGAATGGAGGAAAATCACTAGCCGCAACGCGGTCAGCACTCGCTCCTTCACCACCAGTGTTAATGTTGGTGATCTTGTTCCTCTTCTTAAACCCTTGCAGCCACCCAGAGGAAGCATTGAAGGGTCTGGGCTCTGCAATTCCCATCTTACATGCCACTGCTACGTACAGTTCACGTGCATACTCTTGAACCGACCTTGTGTCCACCGCCATGTTCCGTCTTGCCTGACGAATCAAGTAGCTCACAAGTAAATTCTCTGTCTTGAGAAGCACCTTGTTCTGGCAGTACTTCACCATTGAAGCACCTGCAGACTTTATGATGTTCATGTGTTCTTTTATCTTGGCTGCATCCTTCTTGATCGTCCGGGTCGTAGATTCGTTAACACCATGCTGGCGCGAGATCAACCCGTCTCGTTCCTTTCTCCAACTCTTGGATGATCTTGTACTTCACTTCGTAACTTAGGGCACATCGTATCTTCTTTGCAAGGTTTTTCTGTGGTGGTGGGGGTCCAGTGGAAGCCATTCTTAAGAGATTATCAGAACAATAGAACACAGTATACATGGGGTGACTGGGAGGATCGTAACTGACGCGGCTAGGACAAGCGCCTTCTTCCCTCCCGCGGCAGGGCTGTCGCCTTCATTGATTTCACTAAAGCGTTCGACCTAGTCGACCACAATATAATCATCAACAAAGCTATTGACCTCGGGCTTCGGAGAAGTCTTATACCATGGCTTACAGACTTCCTCAGTGACCGACGCCAAGCTGTACGCTTCCGAGGGGCTGTCTCCACCTTTCAGTCACTCACCTGTGGCGTCCCCCAAGGCACCAAGATGGGACCACTCTGCTTCCTTATGCTCATCAATGATGCCCTAAGAGAAACCCCTGCTCGCTGGAAATATGTCGACGACTCCACCATTGGGATCAGCGTCAACAATTCTGCTCCCGACTATACCGCCCTTCAGGATTTATTGAACAGTCTCCAAAACTGGGCCACCAACAACCATATCACCATCAACCATACCAAGACCATGGTTATGCACATCAACCTCTCCTCCGACATTGTCCCACCTCCCTCCATTACTCTAGGTCCGAACACGCTCCAGGTTGTAGATTCCACGAAGCTCCTCGGCGTCACCATAGACAACAAACTAAATTGGAAACCACACGTCAGTGAAGTTGTCAAATCCTCCAGTTTCCGTCTCCACCTCCTCCGTCGACTCAAGTCCCTCGGAGTTCCTGCACACAAGCTCCTCAGTGTTTACACAACATTCATACTTCCCAAGCTCACCTATGCCTCCCCCACCTGGTCTTCCTCCCTGAATGCCACACAACGTAAACACCTAGAAAAAGTGCAAAAGAGGGCATGCAAGATTATTCTCTCCCCTTCCTACTCCACATATCAAGAAGCGCTCAACACACTGACCCTTTCGACTCTCACTGACCATCACCACGACCTCATCTGCAAATTTGGTAAGAAACTTCTACACCATCCTCGACACCGGCTCCTACTACCACCTGAGATCCCTAGTCCGAGAATTGCTGTTCGACACCACAACCGCATCCAGCCCATACGTGCACGAACTGATCGCTATAAGAACAGCCCAGTCCCAACCATTGTAAAAATTATCAATAACTTGTAATAAACCAGTGTATTCACTCCCAGTAAACACTACTCCTTGCACTGTCACTATGTTGAAATGAACTGTAGTTTGAGCTTTTCCCCATCTAGTTATTATATATCTTATTTGTGTCACTTATGTTACTTGTATATTATTTGTAATTCGAAACCCATTCCCCAAATATGTAACTGTATATTTTCAGCCTTCTGGCTGCCAAGCTCTTTCAATATACCGTTAATTATTATTATTATTATTATTATTATTATTATTATTAAACCAATCACAGATAGCGGCGGAGGGAGGTAAGGATGCGTGGTCCAATCACAGTCTGATATGTCATATGACGTTACCAATAATGCAACAGAGACATACACTGTGCAACCTACTTGCGCCGCTTACCCAAGCATGGCGGGATGGCGGGAGGTTTGAATCCTAAAATGGCGCTGCACGGCAGGACCGCCAGCTGCTCTCCGCGTAAATGACCAAATTTACCGCGTAAATCAAGCATCTCAATTCTGGCAAGGCACCACGTGAATGACAAAACGTGTAAACGAAAACCGCGTAAATCCAGACTCAACTGTACAGTCAACCCTCGCTTTACGCGGTCCCACTTTACGCGTTTCCACGTTTATGCGGTACCCTGCCGAACATGGAATGCTCACTTTCCGCGGTGGGTGTACCCATTTACACGGAGAGCGGCTGGCAGTCCTCTCGCGCCGCGCCATTTTTGGATCCAAACCTCCCACCATCTCTCCCGCCCTCTCCCGCCATCCGCCATGTTGTGTAAGCGGCGCGAGTAGGCTGCGCAGTGTATGTCTTTGTTGCGTTATCGGTGACGTCATATGATGTAGCGGACTGTGATTGGGCAAAGCATCCTTACCTCCCTCCCCGCTAGCTGTGATTGGTTTAATGTACTATGACGTGCCCCGCCGCGGGAGCATTCAAGCCCCTTGACCTACCCGCATCAGTTACACCCCTCCCGGCTACACTGTGTATATCGGCATTGTTCCATAAGAATGGCTTCCACCGGACCACCACCACCACCACAAAGAAACCTTGCATTACCTGGACCCAGCCGCCCTAAGCCAAAGAAGACACGATGTTCCTTAAGCTACGAAATCAAATATAAGATCATACAAGAGTTGGAGAAAGGAACAAGACAGGTTGATCTCGCGCGCCAGCATGGTGTTAACGAATCAACTATCAGGACAATTAAGAAGGATGCAGCCAAGATAAAGGAGCACATGAACATCACAAAGTCTACAGGTGCTTCTATGATCAAGTATTTCCACAACCAGGTGCTTCTCAAGATGGAAAAATTACTTGTGAGCTACTTGGTGCGTCAGGCGCAACGGAACATGGTGGTGGACACGCGCTCAGTTAAGGAGTATGCACGTGAACTGTATGCTGCAGTGTCACGAAAGATGGGAATTACAGAGCCCAAACCCTTTAATGCCTCCTCTGGGTGGTTACAGAGGTCTAAGAAGAGGAACAAGATCACCAATATCAACATTGGTGGTGAAGAAGCTAGTGCTGACCGTGTTGCAGCTAGGGAATTTCCTCCGTTTTTACATGAGATTATGGAGGAAGGACAGTACACCGATGACCAGGTGTTTAACATGGACGAATCTGGCCTTTTTTGGAAAAAGCTACCTTCCAAGACCTTCGTTGTTAAGAATGCCAGCAAGTTTCGGGGCCGGAAGTTGCAGAAGGAGCGCATCACCGTCCTGTTTAGCACCAATGCCTCCGGTACCTGTAAGCTCAAGTTATCGGTGATCCACACAGCACGCAAGCCGCACACCTACAAGAGCATGGACATGACCAAGCTAAATGTCCACTGGCTGCCCGCACGTAAGGCGTTGATGTTCTCTACACTGTCCCTCTCCTGGTTTGATGACTGTTTCGTTCCCGATGTGAAGAAATTCTCTGAGCAACAGAATGTGCCATTCAAGATTTTGTTGCTGCTTGACAATGCACCAGGACACTCACCCCTACTGTTAGATCGTCACCCCAACGTAAACGTGGTCTTCCTTCCTCCCAACACTACGTCTATAATACAGCCCATGGACCAAGAATTGATCTGTAATGTAAAAGCTGCATTCTCTGCTGAAAAATTCAAGCTCCTGAACGACTACACCAACACCAAGGTTGAGTTGCGTAACCTGAGTGACACCAACACCGATAGCAAGAGCGAAGACGACGAGGATCAACAGTTGGCAGAGCAAGAAGTACTTTTGAAACAATTCTGGAGAACATTCAACGTCAAGAAAGATGTGGACTTCTTGGTGGAGGCATGGGATCAGCTGTCTGTAGCAACTGTTCGTCACGCATGGAGACATGTGTTGCAAGGCATTACGGGTGTTAGGCAGAGTAAATCTGTGACTGGTGAGGTTCAGACTGTTGCAGTAGCAGTGGACCTTGCCAGAGAAGCTGCGCAGTGTTACAGCTGCAGGCTTCTCCGAGACCACCAACGACGACATCCTGGAGGTGATAAGGAATCCTGATGTGACTACCGACGAGATGGTAGATGATGATGACGTCAGTGAAGAGGCAGGTGGTGCGTCATCCCAAGAAGAACGCCGCTTATCCCATAGTAATGTAAGGGGTGCCATCGAGTGTATTGAGAAAGTCAAGCTCCTCCTTTCCGACGGCCCTGACGCTAACAGGTATGAAATCTTCACTACCCAGCTGTTGCAGACTATGGAGCCCTACATCAAGGTTTATCACGACAACATAAACACCAGCCGTCAGCAAAGCATAACAGAGTTCTTCGCCCACAACCCACCACAGCCAGCCCAAGCCAGTGATTGTGACAGAGGCAGAGACAGTGATGATGACTTTGAGGGATTTGTCAGGGAGGCACTAGTAAGTGTGGATGACACCGATGAAGACTCACCTGAGGGCCAGTAGCCTGCCCTCTGCCTCGGAACTATCCTCCATTCCCCTACGCCGACCCATCTCTTCTACTAACGTAAGTGTTAACCCCAACTTTGTTTTTTTCTAACCTAACCTTCAGTTTATTATTCTCTTATTGATTGTTCCCTTCTATATTATGTGTGTGTGAATACCATCATAAAGTTAAGATGTTATTTTTAGAAAACGTACGTATTGTGTCGGGAAAAAGTGGAGTTTGGGGGTCGGCCCGGTCTCTATTTCAATTAATCCCATATGTTATGTTGTTCACTTTACGCGTTTCTCACTTTACGCGGGCCGTCGTGGGTTCAATTAACCGCGTAAACTGAGGGTTCACTGTACTGTACTTGAAATCATAGGATATGACACAAAATATTTCTTGGTGAAATTTACATAGAGTTGGGTATTAAAAAATATTGTATTTTGGTGTTTCAGTATGTAATGAATTCTGTTGCTGCTAATGCTAAGAGGAATATTTTTTTAGATTTTTTGACTTTTGATACAGTATAGTGGTGACTAATTTTTATAGCATAAAATGAGGAATATATAAATTCTCTAGCAGGCATCCCCCCATTTACGATGGGGTTAGATTCCGGAAAACCCATCGCTATGTGAAATATCATTGATCGGGATCATTATAACATGGGGTTAAATGGGATACATTTCCAGCCAGTCCAACTGCCGCATGTATCACTGAAAAAACAATGGTGCGCTAATAATATACATAAAATAATTACACAACACTCACCATATCATTAAGAACACTGCTCACTTCACAGTTACAAAAACAGAGTGAGAGAATTTATCACAAAATGTAAAAACAATAATAGTGGCTGCCTCTGTTCACATGTATATAACAAGATACAAAGCACTTTACTTTCACAATAAACATAACAAAGATAACTTCACAGTCAACATGAGTGCTGCCATGCAGCCACCTGGTACATTACTTTACCAAACTATGTTCTATGGTGATACCACATGTCTAAGATAGTGTAATTCAATGGTTATCGGTGTTGTTACTTACCATCGGTGGTTTTTATTTACCTTATAGTAAGGACATCAATAACATTCATATTGTACTCTGTTTTGGTGACTGAATTTTTTTTTTTTTTTTTTAGAGTACTTTGGTCTTAATACATCACCACCATTAAAGTGGAATATCGTCGAAAGTGAGATCGTCAATCGGGGGATACTTGTACTGTGCAGTAAAACCTCGCTAAGGCGGACCCCGCTTAAGCCGGACAATAATTATTTGAACCCCCCCCCCAAAGTAGGATATAATTTGTTGTAAGATGACATGTCCACCATAAGCCAAAATTTCAAGGGAGCAAGGCGGACAGACCTCGTGATCCACCCAGGCCACACATTCTCGTAAACAAAGGGAGATGCATCACGCGCTCAGTCATAAATTAGTATCTCACGTGATAGCATCACTTCTGCTTTCTCGCTCCGTCGATTGAGTTTTATTGCCATTTAGACTCGTTGAACTTTATTTTGAAACTTATTTGACATTGCCAGTCATGTGATTATGCTGTAGGCTGATGTAGCATATATATTTTTGTGTTGTTATTATTATTGAAAAATTAGACAATAACCATGGCCCCTAAGAAAGTGTTTGGTGTCTGTAAGGGTGGTGAGAAGGTTAAGCCTAAAACCTTATCACTGAACGAAAAGTTAAATGTGATCGAAAAGCTAGAAAAATGGTGCTGCTCCCTCGCAAATATGCGCTGAATATGGAATTTCAGTGTACTCAGACTCAGAGTGACTGCAAGCCCCTTGCAGTCAGAGGCATATCCAGCTAGATTTGCCTTCCATTTTTGGGGTAAATGTACAGTTCTTTGTGTACATTACTTTTTTTTTTATTAATTTTTATTAAAAATCATGGATACCATTCATAAAAATTGGATACATTAATGTTGTACTTGTTTTTTGTTTAAAATAGAGCCTTTTTTGAAAATTTTGCTCTAAGGCAGACAACTTCTTATCCCGGACACCCCTTCCCCCCAATTAGTCCGCCTTAGCGAGGTTATGCTGTACATTTTTTATTTTTGTCTAATTTTTCACTGCTGTCAGATGCTACAGTATTTAAAAAAGTATTGATGCTAGATATGGAAATTTTATGGTTTTGCCTTGATGAAAAGTAGTCAAAAAAAAAAGTCTAGTTACCATTTTCATATTATACTGGAGAATTGACACTCCTTGGGAATGCAGTTGGAAATGAAATACTGTACTGTACATATCCAAAGGGATAATACAATTGTTCATTTGTTATGATTATGCAATTGTGTACCATCTCTTAATTTTGTACAAATTGTAAATTAGATATCATCTTCTTCTTATACTTGCTTTGTTTCAGGAAACTATCCATCTCAAGAGAATTCCTTGTCCACTAGATCCAAAACAGTAAGTAAGGGAAATTTCTTTGGATTACAGTATAATCCGCATTCAGCAGGTAACTGGTTACCACACCTTTTATATTTATCTTCATCTCTGCTTGTCAGCTTACCAGCCAATAAAACTAGTTTTTTTTCACATTTAGCACTGTTAAACTCAGCTTTATCACTTTGGTGTTTGTTTGAGGGCATTATTAAAGCAAAGCAAAATCAATATTAAACAAAGAGAACCTAGCACACTCGCCCTGATGCTTAAACCAGCATCAGCATAGCTCAAGGTGCCTGTGACTGCAGTGTTTGTACCATGATCTGCCCTTGAATCTGTTCTAGCTAAGGTTCTATGATTCTCATATCTAAAATAACTTTCAAGAAAAGGTTCATATTTCCTCTTTAATTCATAGTGACTCAAAGTGATGTTAAATGTTTCCATCATCTTTTTTTTTTTATACTGTACTGTACTGTACAGTGGTCCCTCGGTTAACGAGCACAATTCGTCCCAGAAGGTTGCTCGTTAACCGAAACCATTGTATCAATGGGTTTTTGGGTAATTGGTTCCAGCTCACCGAAAATTACATACAAACAAAAAATAAATGCAGTAAAGTACACTTACTTTGAGGCGTGCATGTAGAAGGCTCCTGGTTGATGATGATGGGAATTAGAATGGGGCTGGAGGAGAAGGGAGAAGAGAAGGCATTGGGGTGGAAGAGAAGTCACCCCATGCGCCATTTCACCCTTAAAATTTTAGTTCACTTGGTGTAATTCAAGATTATTTTCTTTAAATCAACACTGCACTGCACTATATATTATCAATATGTAAAATATATTTAAAAATGACCAATAATTTGACTGGAAACACAGAAAAAAAGCGCTTATGTTGAAGAGTCTCAAACAAGATGTTCCTTCCTCTGAACCTGTAAACAAACTGACGCCAAGCTTGGTGTGTTGAGTGCTGTTTGGTGTGCATAAAACTAGTTTCCTGTACTTCAATTATGTTCAATAATTGTTAAAATGACTAAAAAATTTAATTTAAAACCTTTAAAATGATTGAATAGTACAACCTTCTTGATATTTACTAAAATGGTAAGGAATTTAAGCCCTAGGACCGATTACTGTATTGGCGGACTAATAAGACAGCTAGTGAGCAAGCGAAAACATGTTGAGGGGCGCTCATAAGGAATTCGTGAATCGAGGGAATGCTCGTTAACCGAAGTGAAGAATTTTATGGAAGGTAATTAGTTAACCGAGGCGCTCGTTAACCGAGGGATCACTGTATTTTACTTTTTGGGGGGGGGGGAGGGGCATTAGCCCACCCAGGCACATGTCACTGACCCCACATCAGGGCCTGGAGGGGCCAAAATATAATAATAATAATAAACAAAAATTTTAATAAAAAAGTAAATAATACAGTAGTAAATAAATACAAAAATGAAACAATATCAAGAGTGAGAAACGATGGAGTAATAGTATCTCCGTTAGCCGGAATCCCTCAAACCTGGAACTCTCCGATAGCCGGAATTTAAATTTTCTCAGAAAATCGTTCCCAAAGCCGGAATTTTCCGGAAAATTCCGGCTTTAGAAACGATTTTCTGAGGGACACATTTTCCGGAAAATTCCGAGAAATTTTCCCGATACCCAGAAAATTCCGGGGATGAGGAATTTTTTCAGGGTTTGAGAGAGTTGTCTCGTTACCCGGAAATCTCTCATTCCCAGAAGTGCTCTGCACCAATTGTTCTGGCTAATGAGGATATCATTGTACTATATATGTTGTGTTGTCAAAGTAAGAGAAACAATTGAGACCCTGCAATTGTGTGTAAATGAGGCAGAAAGTCAGATCAGCAACCTGGGACTTAGTCATAATTTTTGTGATGCCATATGGCAGCAGGGTCTACCCTTAGACAACACATTATGCTTCCAATATCTTCCCAGGCGGTAGTACCTCCCTGTTTGGTAGCTGCCTACTACCTACTACCTTAACACTCTTGTGCACAATATAAGTTTTCTAGCTCCAAAATCACATCTCTGAGGCCCCCAGAGCAAGCGACACAGTACACGGTGAATATTTTTTTCCTCAACACTTGTTTTTATTGTCATTAACCATATATTTTTGGCTTCGTAACTGATTGCTCTGCAACATAAGAAAAATAAATAATAATATAAATATACTGTATAGCTATTTTTTGTCACTTCTAATAAACATGAGAGAAAAATACAACCTCACAACCTCCCAGCTCAAAATTGTCTGAGCCATCTCTTTAAGTATTATGCACTGCTAGAAGCAGAATTTTATGAGCTTTTGAATGCAGTAAATAGATTTCTGATATGACCAATAGTTTTTGAGAAAATATAAAAAACTGATTCTCATATGGTAAAAAATTTTATATAATTTTTTATTATTTTTTGTGCCTATGTTTTATATCAATATAAATTATATTGCATCTTGTAGCCAATACTATAACAAAGAGAATGTTACTGATAAAATTTAATGGAAGTCTAGAAAATCATCCTCTTTCAGACATTTTTTTTTTTAGACATTGTCAATATAGCCTGATACGGTAACGGTTTTTGAAAACTAAAAACTTTCTCTGTAAATATGAAAAAATATTACATTACGCAACCATCACTTCACTTCTCTAACAGTAAGGTCTTCCCTTCCTATGGGCCTTGAGAGTTGCCAATTAGTTTATTTGATAGAACTTATTTACTACTATGATGCATCAAAATTTGACGGAATTCTGTTGAAAACTTAATTTTTGGCGAATTTTTTAAAGTTTGGTGACAAAATTTTTGTTACCGTTAGGTTGGTCTTATCATGACTATGACGCCAATCGCATCATTATGCGCTAGAGGGTTAATGGAAAAAAAATCTCCAACAGTTCTACTGTAGAACTGTTCTTCAGATTCTAGTGGAAAATTTCACTAAAATCTGAATTACAGTAATTTTATTTATTTATTTATTTTAATTTAATTTATTATATATATATATATTTTTTTTTTAGTACTGTACTTATGGTTCCTTAAACATTTTGAAGCATTACCATTATTATAACTGGAACTGACTTCAGTCATAGATTGGTGTGATTTGTTTTTTGCTTATTATTGAAGAATTTAGCATTTGTCTTATTGGATTATTAATAACTAGTAGCAGGGTAAATATCTGTATGAACAGTGTTCAGTAGTATCATCCTACTGCCAGTCATTACACACTCCAGGAGGTGCTGCTGGTGGTGATTACTTATCAGGATAACCCATAGGTTCTGAATTAAGTATAATACTGTACAGTATCATGTACTGTATAAAAATTTATTTTGATTTTGCTGTGGTAACTTTATGTACAGTATATAAATTATTTACCATTAGCCTGTATAGTTTTTATTACTTCATAAAGTAAAAATTCTCCAGAATGAATTATATACAGTATTGTGCTAATATGTATGGTATGATTTTTAGCTCCTGTTATGAACATCGGCTAAAGCATCACTTAGCAATTTGTAATGCCCGGGAGGTGACTGGCTTGCCATACGTGAATCACAACATTAACCTCAGAATTGGTGACACCAAAGAACCTCCCAAAATCTCTCTATCTTCACTGTCAGACCAAGAGTTGTTATCCTTCATAGCGAAGGTTGAGGCAGCTCACATGGGTATGTAATCTCTGTCAACTAAAATTCATTCATCATCATTCATTGTCATTGCTTTAAATTTGAAATAATACAGTACAAAGTGTTCAGTAAGTAATGCGACCTAAAGCACAGAATACTGTAATCATATGTAGACAAATGTAAATTTATAGTCATTGTTGGAAGTGTTAATCATTTTGTTCTTCACACAAATGAATTCACTGAACCTATTATGAAATGCCTTTTGTAATGGTTCTCTGGGTACAGTATTTTATTTCATGCAATCTGAATGCTGTTCCATAACTTTTAAAAATATTTGCCTGTATTATTTTAAATGTTTTAGTTAATCTAGTTTTTTATATCCATCAAGTCATTGTCTTCTCTTAAAGCCAAGCCTGCTTCAGAATTTTCAAATTTTTATCCCTCCAACTAGATATGCTGCAAGTGGGATAAAGTACAGTACTGTTGGTAAATTTTCATCGACTTGATGTGATAGGTAGTGTGCATCTTGTCCATTCAAATACCAAAGTACATAATTCAAGTTTAAAAAGTACTGTACACTGACATTTTTAAATTGTTTATATGGTATGCATATAAACAAATACTGTACCTTATAAAATCCGCTAGTGATTTACACCTTCGGACGTCAGTTGTGGCTGGAGGAAGGGAATAAAATTGGCCTTATATTGAATGTTTCTTTGATCAGTGAACCATATTGGATAAATGCTCTTTTGTACCACAGTCTGGGTTTCAGTCCCTGAACTGAAGTGTCTTTTGTCCTTAAGGTAACCATCATATCAAGACTTTGACCAAATCAACTAGGTGAGAAGGCTGTATGCACCAGAAACTTTGTCCATCTGGACAATGTATCTTACCATGAAGCATATCTTGCCCTCTGACACAAGGTTGACTCTGCCAGGGAGTGACTTATTGGTTTGGTTTTAACAGTTACTTTAACTCACTTCTCTGTGGTCATGAAATGTAGTTTCATGCTTCAATTTATCAGTTTTATAGTACTGTAGACATATCTTTATTCCATTGTTCTAGAACACATTGACAACATTGAAGAATCCATCTTGAGTCATCATACCCTGGAGAAAGAAATAGAAGCTCCAGGCTGTGGTCCCAGTATAATGCGACACTTGAGTCAAAATTCCTCAATTCTTGGTCATTTAGAGCTGGCTGGACTACTCAACACATCCTTCACACCTACTTGTTATGTTGAGTTTGGTGCTGGACGAGGTAGGTTTTAGATACAGATGCTATCAGTTGGAGACATGTTTATTATAAATGTATTTATTGTTTTGTTTTATATTTAGATTTCGGTTTCATACAATTTTCTTATAGAGTACACTTTTATTTTTTGAAGTCTTATTTGAAATGTTTCTTTATTCTTACTGTTCATTTTTGTGAAATGTTTAGTGACTGAAGTTCTCTAGGCTTACTCTTAATCTAAAATGTGGCCTAAGATAATATTAGAGTGGTCAGAAATATTTCTCATTCGTATATGAACTACATGTACACTCATCATCACAAATGTTTTACAGTCATATTCCATGCTTGCTTCAAGCTTGGGTTAGCCGCTATAATCTGATAGTATCTCTTCATGTTGCACGGTCTCTTGCAGTCTCACTTGTTGGATTCTTAACCCTAATGTCATTTCTTATCACTTCTCCTGATGTCATTCTTGGCCTGCCCTGGCTCTCCTCCCTTCCACATTTAGGGTCATGCACCTTTTGACCCAATTGATCTCATCCATTCTCTCCACATGCCAAAACTATCTTAACCTACCTTTATGTAGATCTTCAGCAAAGCTCTCAATACCCAGCCGGCCTCTTCAGTCTGAACAGGGATACCTGTCTTTCAGTATCACATTGCACAACCACCTCACAATTCACATTTCAGCTCACTCAAGTCTACTTATTTCATCCTCTATAACTCCCCAAGTTTCACTGCTATACAACGTCACACTTCTCACACCAACTGCATACATTCTTATTTTTGCACTGAGGTAAAGGCCTCCTGCTGCCAATATGGCACCAGCTCCCTAAACTTCTTGCAGCCACTTCTGACTTTTTCAACTGAACAGACTTCAGTATCCATAACCACACTGATCATGTCACCTAGGTAATAGAACTCATCGACACAGTCCAGGGACATATCCCCAGTATTGAGTTTCTCCAGCCTTGCAATGGACATATGATTACTTGCACATACAGAATAGTAAGTCAACAACATACTGCAGTCTAACATCCTCTCCACCACATCTCTTGTGTACCCACCTTCCACACTCATTGCATATTACTGAGTGAGTTAATGCCCACACATTTTTACAGACAGCACATGGCCATTTTCTACTTTCCAACGCAGGTCCCTTATCCACATCACTAATCAATACAGTACCCGTACAGTACTTCTGTTTTGACCAAGTGTACTTTTAAAATTATGTGGATTTTTCTAGGCATAGAATGACATTAGCAGTGAGATATGTCATGGAGTGATCAGTGTGCTGGGATCTTATTAGTCATCACCTTGGTCCTCTGTTCTAAAATGGGGTTTCTTGATTTAGTTTTTTATTTGGAACTAATGCAGTCATCAATATGGAAATTTGCCTAATTACGAAGAAAAGTATGCAGTGTTCTGGAAAGATTATGAATATAATCCAGCTGTAGATTGAAGAAATTATATGTTTTATAAATTTAAACAATAAATAAACTTCAGTACAGTACTTGTAATATTTAAAGTTTGCAGAATTTCTGGATTGACAATAATTTTGCATCATCCAGTAATATGCAAAATTACCATGTTTTTTTAAGAAAGACACCATTAATGAATACAATTCTCATAGGTCAGCTGACACGCTGGTTAACAGAGGCTGTATCAGATACCAGCAAAGCTCTATTTGTGCTAGTGGACAGAGGAGCCCAGAGATACAAGTTTGATGCTAAACTGAAGTACAAGTAAGTATTGTACTTGAAATATTTTTCTTGAATTTGATACCTACTTACTTTATGCATGAAGCAAGTATTGTATGCATGATGTACAGAGATTTAAAGAAACCAATTTCATTTGTGTGATAGCCAAAGTAAAATGCCAAATACTTTAGTTTTTTCTTTTATGCTTCTGTCAAAGGTCAGAGTAATAGAGTTTCATTTTGTCAGTCAGTCCATTGCACCGAAATTATTTGTGCTTACCTTATAAGATCAGCTCCTTCAGTTTTAGTAGAAGATTCTAACGCTTTGAAAGTATTTTAGAGGGATAGATGTACATATTATGATATGGGTCATTCATGTCAGATGATTTTTAACTTAGGCTGTTATTGGAACTTCGATAATTTTGTCAGTACTATATGTTGGTATGAGTTATCCATTTTGTGAAATCAAGGGAAGGAGCTACTGTACACTCTACTTGCAGCTGGTTAACTAACTTCCATTGTCAGCTATCTGCAGATTTTGCCATTGCAGTACAGTACTTTAAGTGGTTTTCTTAATTAGTTACATCATAAATTAGCCCAAAATTTATGTATAAAAAATCTTATAGAGTTTAGTTAATCATAACCAATACAACAAAATGAAAGAGGATACTGAGAGAACTCAAAGGCATAGCCCAAAAATTATGAGTGCATGCTGAGCATAACTTTAAATGTTCCTACAGGGGATGATATGGGTAACAGTATATGAAGTAGAAAATGTTTGAGCATGGAATACAGGTATTGACAATGAACACCGTGGGTAAATGTGCAGGTAATTTGTTCCTGAGTGCTGGAGACCCTCAGTATGTCACTGTGTGGGTGTACAGTGCCTGGGTCAGGAGAAATATCTTGTCAGATAATATGAAGATGATGGTCATTTGTTTCTCTTGGGATTGTACTCACACCACTTTTAATAACCCTACCAATGCTATAAGCCAAAATTGTAGCTCAGATTTTTTTGGACCATGTTTTGCATTGGCCATAGATAATGGCACCTTCCCATACATATTGTTCCCTGTACTGTCTTGCCTGGGTCTTCCCTCAGAGTCTCAGTACTGACTTATCACCATGGAAGATGTGCTTGCTTCAACTTGGCACCCCCCAGGCCTCACCATGCCTCCTGCACTGCCAAGAAAGATAGCAAGGAAACTTAAATACAGTAGACCCTTGCTATTCGCGAAGGATAGATTCCAAGAAACAGCATGAATTGGCAAAACTGCAAATAGGAACTTATACTAACTAAGTGCAATACTGTATACCTATACCAAACAACTGACCAGCCACGGCAACACTCATCCCCTCTTTTAACTTATCTAATCATAAAACTTTCTCTGTCTAAGTCATCACTGACTTTTACATTTCACCCCACTAGTACTGACACTAGAGGCCATTTCACACAGAAACACTGAAGTTTTGAGAGTACAACACAAGATGCTGTGCGAGGTGACTCGTGCTGCTGGAAAAGGCTTGCAAGCTAGTCACCTTAGCCACCATCTGTTTACTGTGAATCGTCGAAATCGCGAATGGCAAGGGTCTACTGTATAATTCTCTAAGGAAAGCATTGATGAATGAGCTAAATGATGAAGTAGAATTTGCAGAACAAATGGGTACATTAGTGAGAACTGAAAGTGTGGAAGTGAATGATGAAAAGAAAAAAAAGAGACAGCTTCATTACAAAGAACTGAAGCGTGGGGAAATAGTGTACAAGAAAATTTTGTGTCATAAGATTTTTATAACTTATAGCTAATTCATGACTAGTGAATACAAGTTGTGAGGAGGAAGTGTTTGTGAACCAGAGACCAACCTGGGTATTGTGGGAGTAAAGGAACTTCCCTTTTCATGTGATACACCATGAGTAAGAATGGGATACAGTATAAACCTTCATTGATCAAAAAACTGTTAAGGTCAGTGACCATCCCATTAGTGTAGATGATGATATATGACACAATAATGACCAGCTGCTCTGTGAAAACAATTTTTTTTTTAGACTCATAGTGTACCTGACCCCCTCCATCATTCCATTTCCAGGTGTCATGTGAAGTGCTGAGCAATATACAATAAAAAAAACTGTCTGTATTTGGGGGGGGGGGGCAGTGAATTTAAAAAGAAGACTGCGACTCTTGCTTTCTGAGTAGGGTTGCTAAAAATCCTTCGTCTATTGTACCATGTTGTCTAACACAATTTTGTCAGGATATTTTTTGATTGACTGTACAGTGTACAGTGGTCCCTCAGTTAACGAACACAATTCGTTCCAGAAGGTCGTTCGTTAACCGAAAATTTCGTTAACCGAATCCATTGTTTCAATGGGATATTGGGTAATTGGTTCCAGCTCACTGAAAAGTACATACAAAGTAAAACAAAAATGTAGTAAAGTACACTTTGAGGTGTGTATGTAGAAGGCTCCTGGTTGATGATGATGATGGGAATTAGAAGTGGGGGTGGAGGAGAAGGGAGAAGAGAAGAAGTGGGGATGGAAGAGAAATTACCCCATGCTTGATGCTATCATTTCACAAATAAAATTTTAAGTTCACTAGGTGTAATTCAAGATTATTTTCTCTAAATCAACACTGCACTGCACTATACATTGTTAATATGTTAAATAAGTTTCAGAATCACCAATAATTGTACGTAAAAATGTAAAAATACTCTGTGTTCAAGAGACCCTCAAGCAAGATGTTTCCTCCACTGAACAGAGACACAAACTGACGCCTTGGTGGGTGAGTGAAGTGGCTGATGGGTACACCAAAAACTAGTTCCCTGTACTGCAATTATGTTAAATAAGTGTTAAAAGGACTACTAATTTTAATATAAAACTTGAAAAAATATTGAATAACATAACCTTCTTGATATTTACTCCAATGGAAACGAATATAAGCCCTAGAACCGATTACTGTATTGGCGGACTAATCTTCCAACCGGTGAGCAGTAAGAATTTCGTTAACTGAATTTTTGTTCATTAACCGAATTGAAGATTCTTATGGAAGGTAATTCGTTAAACGGAATTTCGTTAACCGAGGCGTTCGTTAACCGAGGGACCACTGTACATTGAATGTAACACTAATTGATTACAGTAAATTTCTTTTTTATTTTAGCCATTTTCATAGGCATTACAGGTAGGAAGGGCTCTGAGCAGTGAGATGGTTAAGTAGCAATAATGTAGGTGGGAAATGAGCGGGCCGATTGTAGCTTCGGGATGGTATGATGTTTTAAAGCATTTGATAATACAGTCATGCACCGGTTAACATCCTAGATATGTTCTTGGAAACGTGGCGTTAACCAAAATGGACGTTGTCCAATCATCACAAAAACACGATAACGAAAGTACAGAAACTATGGGATTTATTGTAATTGGTTCCAGGCACCCAAGACCCAACCCCAAGTTTCCCATTTTACGACATGGGTAAATATCATAGACACACATAGGCATGGCTAGGTTTATTACAAAGTGATGAAAAGGGTACGCTCAATACTGTAGTCCACAAAACATGTAGCTATGCTTTCTTTATTTGGTCCCCCATCATACGAGTCCGTTTTCTCTCACTTCAGGACGCCTGAATCTTCCATTTTCTCTCAATCTTAGAGTGAACCCGAGACTTCGTTATTCCTTAGTAATGACACAGAATTTGATATTGCAACTGGGGTTGCAATTGTTGAGGCAACTTAGATATGTCTGATTACTGTTGGAATATTCAAGATCCATTGTGAGTGATGTTTAAAGCTTCAACTGTCTTTATGGTTGGTAAAACTTGTAAGTCTGTCAGTCTGTGTGGCATGTGTGAGTGCTTGTACAACCGCTTTCATTCAGACCCACTAAAGATATAATGTTATGGTAATTATCAGAAACACACAGGCATGACTAGGTTTATTACAAAGTGATGAAAAGGGTATGCTCAATACTGTACAGTGGGTAGTCCACAAAACATGTAGCCATGTCTCTTTATTTGAGTGCCCCATCATAAGAGTCCGTTTTCTCGCGCTTCAGGATGCCTGAATCCTCCGTTTTCTCTTAATCTTAGAGTGCAGTGCACCAGAGACTTCGTTATTCCTTAGTAATGACACAGAATTTGAAATTGCAACCCCAATTGCAACTGGGGTTGCAATTGTTGAGGTAACTAGATATGTCTGATTACAGCAAATGTGTTATTGTCAATTTGTAGGAGAAAGATTTTATCCTCAATAGATGTAGGTTAACATTACACCTGGAGGCAATTGCTTACTAAAGCCTAAGGAAGGAAGGATATTCCTTTAACACATAATATCTGGCCAGTATGGGGAGGATCATCGTGTCTCCATCAGGGGGTCGTGGAGTGGTGGTCCAGCAGGCGTCACGGAATTTTTTTTTGGGGGGGGGGGATGTATATGAGATCGGACGTTGTTCGGTTGGACGTTAACCGGCGCATGACTGTACTTGTGAGGGTCTGCAATGCTTGTGTTGGTTGTGGCTGACAGTACTTGTAAGGGATACAGTGCTACTGTTGGCTGTGGTTGATAGTGCAGTAATTTGGAGGGTAGTTCTGTTGATAGCTGTGGTTGACAGTACAGTCTCTCCTCGACTTACGACGGGGTTCCGTCCCAACGACCAGGTCGTAAGTCGATTTGGTTGTAAGTCGAAAAGGCGAAAATAATACATAGAAATTCTAAAATTAAATGCAGTACAGTAAAAGTAATCAATAATGAAAAATGAATAAAGTGTGACTGTGCACTTACCTTTAATGTAGTCAGCTGAATGCACACAGGGCCCCAATAATTTTTAAATTAAGCATGGAGACTACGTTAATTGGATGAAGCAGAGGAGGAGACAGGGCTCGGTTGGTCATCAAGTTCGCTTTCTTCAGACAGGACAGGCTAACATACTTGCTTGTTGAAGGTATTGGCTCATCTTTAGGAAGTGAAGAGGCAGCAGTGGTGAGGCGCGAGGAGACAGCAGTGGGGGACTTCTTAAAAAATATGACCAATTTAGACTGCACAGTTTGCCTTGTCTTTTCATTGTAAATCTCCCTGTAGCAAGCAAGTGCATCTTGGATCAGTCTGTCAACTTTTGCAAAATGCTCAACATTTTGATCCATTTATTCAAACATTTGCATTCCCTTATAAATAGTAGCATATGCCTCTGCCATTTCTTTCACTGAAAACTTTTTGGGGGGTGCAGGTTCTTCTTTTACATTTTGTCTCTCTTCTTCCTCTGCAAATTCCTGTGCCTCCAGTTCAATAAGATCCTCGTTACTTAGCTCTTCTGCTACACTTTCCACCAACTGCTCAACATCTTCATTATCAATTTCTAACTCCAGATGTTTACCCATCTGCACTATCTTGTTACTAATCTCAGAAATTGCTTCATCTTCATTAAATCCTTTGAAACTGTTCACATATCTTTTCAGGACCTTCTTCTATATTCCATTCACGCACTAACCTGTAACCTCATCCCATGCTCCAGCTATGTTCTTTGTACACTGCAAAATGTTGTATTCCTTCCAAAACTCTCTGAGTGTTTTCTCACCTTCAGTAGCAGCAATAGCCTGAGTGAAGGCCGTACTTAAATAATACGCTTTAAAAGCAGCAATAGCACCTTGATCCATGGGTTGGATGATAGAGGTAGTGTTAGGTGGAAGGTAGACTACCTTAACATCAGGGTGCAGGTCGTCCAGGTGTGGTGGGTGTCCTGTAGCATTATCTAAAATTAATAAAATCTTGAAGGCAACCCCTTGTTGCAGACAATACGCCTTGGCTCGTGGAATGAAACAACTCGGGAACCAATCTTCAAACAGTGCTAGGGTCATCCATGCTTTCTTATTACTGCGATAAAACATTGGCAGTGTGTGCTTGCTGACATTTTTAAAAGCCCTTGGGTTCTCTGAATGGTATATCATGAAGGGTTTTACCTTGAAACCAGGTACATTCCCCCCCCCCCCCAACAGAAGTGTGATTCGGTCCTCGAATGCCTTGAATCCCGGCATGGTTTTTGCCTCTTTGTGGATGTATGTCCGTTCTGGCATGTGCTTCCAGAATAAGCCAGTTTCATCCACATTAAATATTTGCTCAGGCAAATAATTTCCCTCCACGATGACACGATCTAGCTCCTCCTTGAGCAGCTGGACCATGGTACGGCTTAAATAATACGCCTTGAATGCAGCGGTGACGCCTTGGTCCATAGGCTGCATCAGTACTATCGTGTTAGGAGGCAGGAATACAACTTTTACACTGTCATGCAAGTCATCGAGATTGGGAGGATGAGCTGGAACATTGTCAACGATCAGAAGAATTTTGAAGTTAAGGTTCTCCTTGGCACAGTATTCCTTCAGTGCAGGGACGGCGTACACGTTTAACCACTGGCTAAATATGGCGCCGGTTATCCATGTCTTTTTGTTTGCCTTGTAAATGACAGGAAAGTGATCCTTAGAGTAACCTTTCAGGGCCCGTGGGTTGGCAGCGAGAGAAATCAGCATAGGCTTCAGCTTGAAGTCACCAGCAGCATTCGCGCCAAGCAGCAGCGTCAAGCGGTCTTTTGCCCCTTTAAAACCTGGCGCTCTTTTCTCCTCCTTGGAGATATAGGTCCTCTAAGGCATTCTCTTCCAAAAGAGACCAGTCTCATCCACATTGAAAACTTGCTTCGGTGAGTAGCCTCCTTGCTGGCTAATCCGTTTGAATTTTGGCGGGAATGTCTCGGCAGCAACTGTATCTGAACAGGCAGCTTCACCAGTCATCTTAATATTATGGAAGTTATAACGGTACTTAAAATGTTGAAACCATCCTCGGCTAGCCGTAAAGGTCTCTTCCTTCGATCCTTCACCCTCTTCTGCCTTTAAGTCATCAAACAAGGATCTGGCCTTATGCTGCATAACCATAAGGCTCACAGGGGCATTACGTTGATTCTGGTCCTCCATCCACATTGCCAGCATCTTTTCCACCTTCTCTATCACAGTGTTTCTAGTACAAGTCATCTTAGTAGCACTCAGAGAAGAACTACTTCCAGCACTAACCTTAATCTTGTCAGCATTGGTCCAGATAGTACGCACTGTTGTGGGGGTTAGATCAAGCACAGCAGCTATGTCCACAACACGTTTCCCTTTTTCAAATCGGGTTAATACATCCATTTTCATAGCAAGGGTAATGGTCTTACGTTGACTCTTCACTACACTAGCATCAGTAGCACTTGATGGGCACTTGGAAGCCATTTCGATTGGTTAGAGTACAGATTTAAAGCAAAATCACTTAAACACACATGAATGATGTGAAGTCGTAACAGAGACTGGCTTGGCGTCGCTTGGGGACGCTGTGACGTTCCACGAGTGAGGGCAGCGCTCCAAGCCAAGAGAGCGTAGCGCGGCCAGACAAGAGTGGGTGATGCGCCGTAGAAAGTAGTTCGTGACTACGCAAAACGACGTAGTATCAGATCACTGGGATATTAAACGAATTTTTGGTCTCAAAAGTTCAGCGACGTAGTACCGAAACAACGTTAAGCGAGGACTTACTGTACTGTACATGAGTAAGTGAAAAGAAATTGGATAATCAGGCAACTACCTGAGTCATGAGTCTACTTTTCTTCACATGAGTTTGAGGAGTATGTTATATGGTGAGTGTTAGAGAATGGTGACAAACTGAAACCTTATTTGTGCTAGACAGGCAACCCCCACGATTCGGAATCCCGGGTTACATAAATTTGCCCTTATGCTAGTTTGATATTATGAAAAAATAAAAATAAAATTGTGAGACAAAACTCACCCTTACAGAATTTGGGTAAATTTTTTAAATTTTCAAACATAAAAATCGCGATATATAACAAAGAAATTCATTGAAATTATACAATTTCATTTGTGTGGATTCTTGGTCATAGCTACAAGATGGTTGGAGGGCGGCTCACTACCCCAGTTGTCAGCAACCACCACAGCAGTGGCGCTGCTCAGTTTGAAATCTTTTCCCAGCTTATGTTTAGTTATGCGTCTGTGTTCAGGACTGTTGTCTGCTTTATGGAATTGTGGTTAATTTATCAAAAAAATAAATAAATAAACAATTGTACTGTATTACAGTGATCTCTCGGTCAACGAGCGCCTTGGTTAACGAGATTTTGGTTAACGAGTTACCTTCCATAAGATTCTTAACTTCGGTTAACGTGCAATCCCTCGATTAACGAGTTTTTTACAGGGCGACCTCAACATGTTTTCGCTTGCATTTAGCAATCCACCAGCTGTAGTATTAGTCCGCCAATACAGTAATCGGTTCTAGGGCTTAAATTCCTTACTATTTTAGTAAATATCAAGAAGTTTATATACTATTCAATAATTTTAAAAGTTTTATATTAATTTTTTTAGTCATTTTAACAATTATTGAACCTAATTGAAGTATAGGAAGCTAGTTTTTTTGCGTGCCATACAGCCTGTCAACACACCATACAGGCGTCAGTCTCTGTGTCTTTTCAGTGGAGGAAACATCTTGCTTGAGACTCTCTTCAACTAAACGCTTTCTTCTGTGTTTCCAAGCAAATTATTGGTCAATTTGAAATTTATTTTACATATTGACAATATATAATGCAGTGCAGTGTTGATTTAAAGAAAATAATCTTGAATTACACCAAGAGAACTAAAATTTTATGGGTGAAATGGCGCCATGGGGTGACTTCTCTTCCACCCCCAATGCTTTCTCTTCTCCCTTCTCCTCCACCCCCATTCTAATTCCCATCATCATCATCCAGGAGCCTTCTACATACACACCTCAAAGTAAGTGTACTTAACTACCTTTTTTTGTTGATTTTAGGCAATTTTCGGTGAGCTGGAACCAATTACCCATTGAAACAATGGTGTCGGTTAACGAGTTTTTCGGTTAACGAGTTTCTCGGTTAACGAGTTTTTCGGTTAGCGAGCAACCTTCTAGAAGGAATTGTGCTTGTTAACCGAGGGACCACTGTATAGAAAAATATTAAATTATAACCTTTATTTCGTGTGGATTCTGGTGGTAGCTACATGACTGCTGGCGGGCTGCTTACCTCTCTAATCGTCAGCAGCCACCACAACAATGGCACTGCTCAGTTTGAATTCTTTCCCCAGTTTGTGTTCAGTTATGTGTTTGTGTTACTGTGTATCCTTATTCAAGATGTGTCAAAAAAGACCATCAAGTTCAAGAGAAAGCAGTGGTGATAAAAGATTCCATAAAGGAATTATGTTGGGCTATAAACAGGATGTTTTAAGGAGGTAACTCCTAGTATCTCTGATCGCACTAGCTGAGCTCACCACCTCCTGCAGCACTAAACATCATTTCTGGTGAGTTAAATTCAAATGTGTGCATTTATTGTCATGTTACATCATGAATGAATCATTATTTGTCTGTTTTCATTCATATATACTGTATGTGCTCGTGTTACATTTTTGGGCAGCCAAAAATTTGCTTAGAATGCATCTCAACTAAAATACAGTAATGGGAGTCATTGGAAAAAATGGTTTCACAATGTGGAAAGATTTTCAGGCACGAAACCCTTCCATAACATTGTGAGTTAAAAAAAATTAAGTAAGTTCATGAAGTAAGCAAGCATACTGATGTTAAAAAAAAGGGGCATTATTTTAGCATGTACTACAGTATTCTTCATTCCTGTACAGACACTTAGAAAAAATTACAAAAATAGTAAAAAATATTTCAGGATTTTCATTCATAAAACAAAGCATGGGACAAAAAAAAGTACCTTAGAATTTGTGTAAATTGGGGTCTACCTGCATTAACTTTTCAGTTTTGTTCTTTGTGTGACACCTCGTTTTCTTTTTCAGTCGATACACCCGATTAAACTTACCAGCCCAGTATCGAGAAGAAGTTGGAAGAAAAGCAAAGCAGCTGTTAGATTTTGGTCGGGTGAGGTATTTACAAGACCAAGGTTTCCAGTGTCGCCTTGTCAAATATGTTACTAAGGAAGTAACATTAGAAAATATTGCCCTTGTGGCTAATTATGTCGGTAGGTAACACAATTACTGTATAGTATATGGAATGTAAATTTAAAAATATATATAAACATAACTTTTTCTTTTAATTTTATTGGTCTTCAGATACAGTTTGTGGTACTGTAAAGAAAAATATACAGCATTTTTATCATTCAAAGAAATTATACACCTGTATAGCTTTATGCCACTGAAGACTTTTGTAAATGTATTTCCTTATCCTTCAACAAGTGGATGTTTAATTTTGCTAGTAACTGTTCATGGAATTTCCCACAAACATTGGTTGCATCTTCTTAAGGGCTAGTTGATTTCTGTGTAGTGAAACCATAGCAGCACATTCTCAGTTAATGTTATCATTCATATTTCTTTTACCTGTATGCATTGAATGTCTCTGTAAAGTATTATTTCGTTAGGTAACCAGAACTATGATATTACAGAAGGAAGTGCTGGTTATAAATTGTTCTGCTTTTGGTTTACTTGGCTTTTTGATGAAGAGATGAGAGCAATATTGTATGGTGTTTTTTAATCATTACTTTATTTAAGAATGGAGTGAATGAGGATAAAATCATTAAATATATACTGGTAACACTTTTCCCAAGCTTTCCATTTTAGTCTTATCCGTAAACTGTTTGTTTATACTCTCTGCAATTAACACTCATCCTTTACACATTCAGTAATACAAACAAGTAGTGACTGATTATACACCAATTAGGCGAAGCAGAAGCATTCTTCATGAAACGTTTCATCACTTTTTTCAAAGTAATTAATACTAAAAAGTGTAGAGATATTGACAAGTATCTGCTTGTGGCCACCCTATTAAAGACAACTCACAAGAGAATCAAACAGTACAGCGCATTTAGATAATATGATGTAAAGGACATGGTGTGATGAAAGACTATGTTATTTTATCACTTTATTCTACAAAATAGTATAAAAAAAAAAAAAATTAGGTCAGTCAACAATTGCAATTACATATTTCATGGGCACCATAACTTTTAGGCCAATCAACAATTGTAATTATATTTCATTAGCATTGGGGGAAAAAAGACAATTTTGATGACAAAAGTTAATTACAGTATAGGCAATACGGTACTAATGATAGTCTACAAGAAACAATACCCTCATTAGAGATTAAAGTTAATAGTTTATTATCACAAAGCTTCAGTTATCTTAAGATATGGAATGACTTTAGAGTAAAGTATCAACTAAATATTGGTGCTTAATGTTATAATTTCATTGCCTTGCCCATTAATCTTAAATTTTTCTTGAAGTTGGGGTCCTTTAGAGAAGACTCAAAGGAAAACTTTTTGTTTCCAATTTATTAAATTCCTGTTATCAGTTTATAGAAAGAATGGCACCACTGTCTGCTGAATTATTCTATGAATTGTAATAATTTCTTCATGAAGATAAAGAAAAACATTTCTGACCTCTAGTCCAATTTTAAACCCTTTTTTGTTAGATCAGCCTTTGCCTCCTTAATCTGATTCTGTAACTCTTCTGCTGCTTCCTTACAGTCATTAAATGTATAAACACGATAAGCAATTATGGCAACTGATGCTAAACCAAATAATGCTACCAAGAGGACTGGAAACAACAAGATCTCCAAGTAGTATTGCTTAGTAAATTCATTTTGAATCTGAAACAGAGAAACATATAGTTAGGAAGAACTATTTTGGCCTTGAACAAATGAAATTTCCTACCAACTGTGAATAGCACACTCGTGTATAGTTCAAGTTTTTAAGACCAAATTTTTAGGCAAAAAATTGGGGGTCGTCCTATACATGCATAATAGTTTTTTTTATGTTGAACCCATGCATGGTGGGAAGGGCGAGGAGCAACTTTTAGCTTCAGACATAAAAAATATTTACCATTTACTGCCAGTAAACAATGGAAATGTAAAATATGTACCAATTAGTAATGAAAAGTTGTGCAGTTCCTTCAGCAAATGAAGCTCACCAACTTACAATAGGCTAAATTACCTTACAACGTGCTTTCAGTAGTCTATGTTGAAGTTCTTAGCACAGGCTAACTTATATCATATACGGTATCACAGTTCTCATTGATCTACAAAAAATACCGGTAATAAAAACCTTTTCGATATTTCACACTTAATATAATACCTGGTAATCTACTTCAACCTCCTATTGTTTACAACGACGCATGACGCACCACCAGCTGTTGAGTATCAGCTAGACGGTACACGTGTTTTTCGAATCTTTTCAGTTAAAAAACTGTTACATCACATGTATATTTTACCTTAACTGTGCCTGAATGAATATATTCTCGGAAATAAATATTAGTTTTGCTGAAACGTGATGTATTTTAATGTAAAATAGGATAAAACAAAAGATTTTACCTAACCTTCCGATGTTCAAGAGAAGTTACTCGTTTTTTTAATAGTTTTTGGTTAAAATACTGTTATATTACAATACTGTGCTTGATATACTACATTCACGGAAATGTAATATTTTTGCTGAAATGACGTTCGTATTACAGTGGAAAGTGGGATAAAATTGACGAAAACAATGACTTTCGCTTTCTTTCGTTCAAAAGATGTTACCGTACTCGCTTTTCGAATGGTTTTCAGTTAAAAAACTGTTGTATTACAATAATATTCTATCCTAATTGACTTGAATAAATACTACGATACCATATTTCTGAATATTTTCATTAAAATCCATCAAAATCATTTTCCTTGCCATCGTCTGCAGCACCAAATAGCTTCTCCCAGTCCTCTCCTTGAACAGGGCTAGAGGGTACGTATTTTTCGAATCGTTTTCAGTTAAAAAACTGTTACATCACACGTATATTTTACCTAAACTGCGCCTGAATGAATATATTCTCGGAAATAAATAGTAGTTTTGCTGAAACGTGATGTATTTCAATGTAAAATAGGATAAAATACATGACGAAAACAAAAGACTTTACATAAGCTTCCGATGTTCTTGAGATGTTACTCGTTTTTTTTTTTTTAAGTTTTCGGTTAAAATACTGTTATATTACAATGATATTCTATTCATACTGTGCTTGATATAATACATTCACGGAAATGTAATATTTTTGCTGAAATTACGTACGTATTACAGTGGAAAGAGGGATAAAATCGTGACGAAAACAATGACTTTCGCTTTCTTTCGTTCAAAAGATGTTACCGTAATCGCTTTTCGAATGGTTTAGTTAAAAAACTGTTATTACAATAATATTCCCTCCTAATTGACTTGAATAAATACTTGAATGGAAATATACAATATTTTTGTTGAAACTACCCACGTTTCAGTGTAAAGTGTCGTAATAATAAATGGTAAACAATTTGCCTTCGGCACTCGGTGTTTCAGGCACGGCGAGCCTCAGTTTATAGGAAATAGAGTGTTTTTACTGATGGTTTTGTTGTTCCATTACCCTCAAAAATGTGGATCAACCTATAAACGAGGAATATCATAAATTAACGATTTCTTGGTCAAAAAATCAGGGTCGACCTATAAACGAGGGGGGGGGGTTATAGACGAGTATATACGGTAATTTCAATCTTTATAGGACACAAGGAGAAATGAAATCCTATAAATAAATATAGTCATGGCAACCATAGCATCCTCTTAACTAGAAAATACAAAAATAAGAGTTAATACAGTACTGTACTGTACATTTATTTGTGACCCCTTAACTAGGCTCCCTACATTTTTGGCTTGTCAGTCAAATTCTAAGAATTGTACCATTTGTTAAAGAGGGCAAAAAGGGACAGAGCATATTTAATGTGTAGACTAATTTCCACAACAAGAAAATATTAACATTAGGTTATAATAGAGAATGATAAGTACTGTAATATGATTAAAAAATATCAAAACAAAAGTTTATTTTCAACAAAAATATTAAACTTCAGTGTTTCACTATTAATTAAAGTATTTTGTAAATACAGCATAGTCATAAATATACTGTGCGCAATATACTTATACTTATAAATATACTTAGCACAATACTACTGTACATACAGTGTTGGTGACGACTGCTGACCAAGGACCAAGGATAAGTACTGCCCCAGTTAACCATTCCATTAGCTTGGTCATGTTGATCTGGAAATTTAGCAGATGGATGCATTTTATGTTAGTACTGCAGTAAAAGCCTATCATACGTAATTTTATCAATCCAATAATAGAATAATTTTATCTTACATAACTATAATATGAGATTGTTAAGATAGGTCTGGTTTGTTCATATTACCTGGTGCCATAAATGGCTTCGAGTGTGGAAAGACCTTTATTACAACCAAAAAGTAAACTAGAAAAACCTCCAGGGGTAGAGGGAACGTGAGTATAATTTATTTATGACTGCATATGACACACTAATTTATATTTTGGGGTACAGTATACTGTATATGTAGTTTAGGTTTATTGACTTACAAATTTGCACTAAAAAAAATTTTTAATGTATAAAATGAAAGTTCAGTGTGGGGGAGGAAGGGGCATATGAAGACAAATTTGAATTTATATAAGAAAATAGGTTTGTTTATTTTTCTTTCTTTTTTTCCCCCTATAACGTCAGGTACTACAGTACATGCTCATCTTCCTACCAGTGATGGCATGTTTGCACTTAACTGCTTACAAATGCTTCCCAGCAACAGAACACTTGCCAATGACTTTTCCATGCAAAATGAAATATTAACACCATAACCTACCAAACCTAATCCACTTGACCCAAGTTACCTAACCTGGAGGTTTTTGTGTGTATGGAAAAAATGCTGGGAAGCATTCATGTATATTGCCAAACTAATGTTACAAAGACAGCAAATCTTTTATTCTTTTGGGGGATACAGAACATTATTCTTAATGAAAGACAGAAATTATCATTGTCTATGTAAAAGTTTTCTTAAGTTACGGTTTCTTTGTATAAGCATGAAATGGAAATGCAATTGTCAATGAAATGTTCCTGCTCATATAAACACTTGAAGCAAATATGGAATAGTCATCAGGTGGACACTTACAAGAAAGACTTGAAGGGGATAAAAGAACACAGAAAGTGCTACTCCTCCACCCGAATTACATTATTACTCGGGTAAGAAATGAGTTTTCCTGTAAGGTATAGACTTTTTGTTAGGTAGCTGGTTGACCTGACTGTCTTATAATGTTGCTGTCAGGTTATCTATGTACAATGTAATACTTTTAATTTACAGCTTTGATGGGGAAAGGATGCTGGTAGTTTGTTTTATACAGTATCCTCATTATTCCTGAGAAGTTTGTCTTTTAATGTCCAATGTTAGTATAGGAGGAAATGAGAGTACCCGGTGAAAATTTGCAATGTATGGTAGGGTCACACTGATTAACACCCTTCTCACATTTGCCTTGGGCCAGGAATAGAGATCAGGTCACAATCTAAACTAAGGGATACAAGCATTACTGCTGTATGATCAGCACATACCGGTAATTAAATTTTTTTTTCATTGCTTTTGTAGGTTTACTGTAATTTGATTAGTCGTCCCAACCTCATCATAAGCTCCATTAAGTCTAGGAATGACATTGGATATGTTCAGGTACTGTACATTCAAGAGCTCATGCATGCCTAGTACAGGTACTTCTCAAATGTGCATTATAAAAAACTGTCAAACTATCCAAGCGTTGAGTACTGTTAGCAGATATTTGATGAAAAGGATGGAGCAAAATAAGGACCTGCTGGTACAGGTAATGACACATGAAAATATATTGAGCCACACTGTCAAGTCTGTGGACTGCATGAAGATATCTGGGAAGCTGACAAGTCAAGATGGTGTAGCAATCATGCAAAAAGATCTGCATGAACAGACAAATTCCCTGACTATTTAAAGGAGATAAATTAAGTTTGAGTTGAAGTTTTGTATGAATCTGCAGAGGGATATGGTGGTCATACACTGGAGGATATGATCACCCACATTCTTGGATTTGTCATCAGGAATTCTAGCCTTGGTCATGGGAAGATTTTTCAGATTTCAATTGAAGAGTTAACCCCAATGGAACACGACCAACCATTGCTTGCATGCAGTATACAGTACATGTATGTATTAACCAATTTTATCATGAAATAGGACTACTGCCCTGTAATAAAGCAAATGACCAAACCTGAATATACAGTAACACTAAATTTTTTCAGGCACGTGGAGACGTGAAATTGTTGCAATATGATTGTTCAGTGTTTTTACCCTGTTATTTCCATCTTCGTTATGACTGAAAGATAAAATAAAAAGAAACTACTTCAATGTTATTTCAATTTTATTACTCAGTATCATCCAATATCTCCTGAAAATGTGGTCCAATATGCGTAAGTCCTTCTGGTGCTAATCATTTCCTCCATCAACTCTTCAGACAAGGCACAACAGGAGGTTAATACAGTATTTTGTAGTTACCATTCATGGAACTATAAATTTTTATCCAGGGATAGAGCAAAAAATATAAATGCTTTGCTGTATAGAATTTCTGGCGGAAATTTAGAGTTTTTGCGTTATTCTCACTTTTTTATTTCACTTACGTATACAAGTTTGTGGGTAATTTTTTTTTTTTACATCTAACTCAGCCAATTAGTAAAAGTATCAGATGTCATGCAATTCTGTACTTGTGTGCATGAGCTCAATTATTCCTCAGCCAATCAGAGCAAGTCCCGATGTCACATGAATTTGAATTAGTGGGAAAATGGCTTCTGTCTGTGAACGTTGTTCGTTGAAAGACTGGCGTGTAACTCAGCAAGTATTAAAGAAAGCCGCAGCTATTGACATCTTTAGGTCTCATATGGTGTTCTCCTTGGTTCAGTATCCAAAGTGTAATTCAGACTGTCTGTATTGTCAAGATCGCACACTTTGTATTGCAGTAAAAGACAGACACTCGCAAAGAAAAAGAGATCTCGTATTTTGCTCGGTCCATGTTCCAAGCTGATCATAAAGATCATAACCCCATCACCACTTCCTCCATCTGTTAACCAAACTAAGTTTTAGTTCGGTAAATTTAGGTTAGGTTTACATACTGATTTTTCTAGTTAGGTTAAGTTGCCATGTATGCTGATATTTGAGTCGGTTTTGCTTGTTTTTACCCCTAAGGACCCACCTTCACCTTTTCACCCCACAATCTTGGTAATTGGAGGGGGTCATATCTCCAAAAGTATTTATTTCTTCCAAATATGAAGGTCATATGTGTGTGAAACAGTGAAAAAAACACACAATTTTTTTTAGTAATTATCATGAATGGTCAATATGGAATATTTACCCAATAGGGCAGATCTTCTACACACATCCAAAATCTGGAAAGGGATAGGAAAACAAATTATGTCATGTACCACCAACAGGAGAGGACAAACTAGGAGGTGTGTATGACCAGAGTGGACAAAGTGCTAGGGAGAAAAAAATGGAGACCTCTGGTGCTTTCCTCTCTGTGGCTTGCCACCCATCACCCTCACTGCCAGCCCTGCATGTAGTGAGACATGGATAGTTCTACTTAACAGCAAAATTGACGGTATTGGCACTTCTAGTCTAAGTAACCGAGTTTCTTTTGGGATACGGAGGTGGTTTCCCTATCCTTTCGTGAATAAATCTCTATGTTGACCTTAGTGGCATTTTGTCCATGCTGGTAATATGTGCCTCAAATCTTCAAGGTCACCAAAGTGTCTTGCAGGACAAATATAAAGAAAAACTTCTTCACACCAAGGGTAGTAGACTATCAGCTCAAGCTGTGGAGGTGAGAACTGTAGTGGGCTTCAAAATAGCCCTGGACACGATCATCTTATACACACCCCTGGACTCCTTCCTTCAGCATGGTCATCTCTAGTTTTGTTTTTTGTTTTGGTAAGGCTGGAGGAGACCATTAGCACCAGAAGGACTTTATGGAATTGCACCAAATTTTCAGATGTTTGGATGATACTCGGTAATAAAAATCGAAGAGAGAATAACAAGGTAAAAACACTGCAATCTAAACGTTTTTGTATGTGAAGAAACAAAAGGTTTACCATAATTATGGAATAGTCAAATCTCCTATGGTAACTATATTTGGGTTCACATCGTCTGCTATGCGGATAGTATCCGCAATCTGTTTACATGTCAAGAAACGAATGACTATCTCACCGGGCATATTTAATACAATTCATATTGGATTGAAGTAGTTAATTTTTTCTAGAGATGTTGTTTGGATGATAGTAAGTTAGAATATCGAAACTACAATGCACAGGTTAGGAAGTTAGGTAAGGTTGTAATTTGTGCATTCTCGCTTTCATTTTCGTGTTCAATATCATGCAAATAGTATCTCCAGAAACTTTGGTTCAATTCCATATGTTATTTCTGGTGCTAATGGTTCCTCCACCTTAACTACTTTTATTTTGTACCACTTATCAGCTTACTCGCCATTTAGGTGGTTAGTCTGTAATGTACGAGGAAACTGCTTCCACCCGAAGTACTCATAGTTCGATTTTGTTAATTTCTTCGACTGATGTTCTTATCATTGTAGCAAGTACTTTTAAAAGAGGTGACATTTACTAGAACCTAACCTAACCAAACAAAGAAACCTACCTAACTTTATCTCATGTCCCTGGTACCAATGAAAGCAACTTTCTTGAAGCATCATGGTGTAATTTTACATTTTTTGAGGATGTGAGAGTATGCTCGAACCTAGCAGGTCCGTTATAGCAAACTGAGCATATGTAAACAAGCACTATCTCAGCTGAATTGTCATAGAAAACGAATTTAAAATTGCCACAATTTCACTGTTTTATAGTCGACACTCATAGTTATGGCAAATGTGTTAAAAATTGTTAATTTAAAAGTTCAAGTTAACTTAACCTAATCTTAAACTAAACTAATCTAACCTAACCTATCATAACTTAACACCTGCTGTGGGCGAACTTATTATTGCTGAGATGGAGGGAAGCGACTGTGAAGTCCTCCATGTTAGCCAATAATAAATTTCTTGCCCATCCGACGAGGGGTCACAGTTCAAGGATGAAGAAGCCACAAGTCCAAAAAAACTGTGTGGGTAAACTTTTTGGGAGTGAGAATTATGAACTCTTGGAACAATCTGCCAGTGTTGTGATGGCACCAAGTGTGAGCTCTTTCAAGACCAGACTTGACCAACACTGTAGCAGGTTCAGATACATTCAGGAGCCAGTGCATACCCAGTACTTGCCAACAGTGCTAGACTTGACCGTTCGCCCAAGCAGCTAACAAGCCGATCAGTGGCATATAGGATAAAACTAAAAAAGTTAAGTACGAAGACGTCATTTTAGTGTCATGAAGTTTTTAACAGTATTTTACCCAGCCATTTTCCTCATCCCTCATACCCTGCCCACTACACATGATTTATGATCGTACATATCAGAAAACGAAAACACTAACTAAAAGTTAAAATATGAAGTTGTCGTTCCTAATCTATTTACAATCACCAAAACAACAAGGAAAAAAACAAAAAAGGAAATCCATAAACGTTTTCTGGGGGTAGTGGTTTCCTCATAACTTACCGGCTGGTCTATCTAATGTTAGTGCAAGTGGAAACCTTTGATGTTTGGTAGGGTCGGGATGGATAACACCATTCTCACGTGTGCTCGAGGTCCAATCCTTGACATATTGGTGAAATATGCGTGTTACCGCTGTGACCACAGGTAAATAGGGTAAAACTTCACAAAATTACATTTGTTGTACAATGACCACTTATTGAAACCGAGACAGCTATAAGTCTGTCATTACCTGTATAATACAGCATTTTCTTGTTACAAATTTTCTTAAAAGTCAGAAACAACCATATTCATTAATTCAAACTACAGAAACTGTCTTTACCTGTTGTCTGACGTGGCGATGTGCACGTTGAAACTCCTGCACAGTATTGCTGGGATATGACAGGGGCCGAGATGACCCTCAAGATCCTCAATACTGGATGACACACTAATTCATCATCTTGCTCCTGGTAGCTGCTGCCACCTCTCGTCCAGTACACAAAACACAAACGCTTGGTCGAAAAAAATGGAATATATTTGAAGGTAAACATTGATAAGTGTAGCTGCTGAAACAGAAGAAAGATTTTTTTATATATCCATATGAAATGTGTTTTCACAAAATTTTATCGGTGTGTTGGGTTTTTTATGAGGAATTTAAGTGTTTCGTTAGTCTTCCTGTCCTGTTGTATGGTTCACATATGAGGATTTTCTTTTTCTTTCTCGAGTCATCAAATTATCTCATTACTTATCTTCTTTATTATTTGTCATTTGTCATAGCTAGTCAGAAACGCATGCAATTACGATTCTGTGAAATGATGATCATTGTCCTGCTTTAGTTTAGAAACTATGAAAAAATACTTATATGCACATTATTCACTGCTCTGGCATTTGCTAATTTTGGAATAAGTTATTATTCAAATATAAGGACTTAATAAAATATGAATGCTAGTGCCATCTCTTGGCCATGTAAGAGTTCATGATGACTTGTGTAGTTGCTACATATCACCACTTGATGGTTTATGAACACGTTACTCTTCTTTCTTTACACAGTTGTCAGTGTCAACAAACTTTCATTGTTACCAATACGACGGTAAAGCTGCACATATAACTGTTTTAATTGTATCTTATGTTACATTTTCTTTATATATATATATATATATATATATATATATATATATATATATATATATATATATATATATATATATATATATATATATATATATATATATCATGTAATCTATTATCATCTTACTAACCGCTCGGGCGGTTGGTTTGTTCTTTGTTACTTTGTTATTATCTATTGTCCAGCGTTAGTACAAGAGGAAATTTGAATACCAGGAGAAAATTTGCTTATTGGTTGGGTCACACTGGCTAACACTTCTCACATCTGTCCCGAGCCGAAACTTGAATTTAACCCACAATTTTAATTTCACTAATAGAGATTACGAATTTTGACCACTGATAGACTCGATTGCAGGATTCTCGTGCAGTTTTAAACAGATGTGACTTATTTTAGAGAAATTTTAAATTAAAATGTCTTGGTACATTTCTTTTGAGTGTTAATTTGACCCATTTCATTGTATTACTTAAGCTATCTTGAGAGCAAATTAGGACTACTGAACATGTAGGCATATTGTCTACTTTTTTTTATGACGCCCAACTTCCCAGGGATGGCAAACTACTACTACTACTACTACTACTATAATAATAATAATAATAATAATAATAATAATAATAATAATAATAATAATAATAACAATACTTTGTTGCACAGAGGGTGAGAGGGATCTGGCTATACTGTTAAAATATATATATATATTTCACCTGTTGGCTGACATGTTTTCTCGAATAATCAATAGATATAATCTTTTATTGTGATTAGAATTTACAGTGTTACTCATTAGAACATATATCGACAAACCAAAATCAAAATTGTTCGTGCAAAATACAATCGCGATGGGAAAATTAAATGGAATAAAATGTATCTATACTGTCTAGTTTTAAGTCAAACAATTCTATCATAGTAAATAGTAGTGATTTGCTATGAATATGGAAGCCTATCTTGCCTTCAGTTTTTTTTTTGTTTTTTAGTGTACGCCAATGAAGTGGATCTGCACAACTGTTGGCAGACGCTGCGAGAGCCTCAGTGTGCTTGTGGTGTGAGGCGGGGAGGGACGTATAAATTTGCTCGCGGGGAGCATCCATGCTAAATAAGTTTTTATAAGCGTATCGACAAAATTTTAATTTATTATCAATGAATATGGACACTAAAGATTACGATCATGTCAGAAACCTCACTCTTTTATTCTTCCTTGACCGGCTCATGGACAAGGGTCAACCGCGGACGTTGCATGACCTAAGCTGTCAGTTTGGGACTAAAGGTTTCACTAAGGAAATGCGCCAGATTGCTGGTGGCTCACAATCTGGCTTGAGAAAGTTCCTGCAGCAGTATCCGTCCCTGTTTACCTTGGAGGATGACTATGTGAGTGTTACGAACTACAGCAATGGCATTTCCAATCCACACGACCCAACTGGCAAACTGCTTGGCAAACGGGACTATGCCCAGGAAGCTGTTGATTATTTCGTGGGTAAATTACGCCAGTATGGAGCTGGGACAGAAGTACCAATCAAATCCTTACTTGGACATCGGTCTCAGGCGTCGCCGGAGGTGCGCCATGTCTCAGGACAACATGTCAAGGAGTTTCGTGATTTTCTTGTGCGATATCCCGATGTGTTTGTTGTGAGGGAGGAGACGGTGATCCTGAAGGAATATGAGGGAGCGGCGCCCCAACCCTTTAAGGAACTGGAGGTGCCGCAGATCGACCCGGTCCTCACACAGCAGGTGGGTTAACACGCCGCCTTGTGGCCGCTCATACCAACATTTGCATCAGTTTCAGGTTTATATGGACACATTGCCCTTACTACACTTTATGAGCCAGTAATTACACATTAACATTTCCAGCCTAAACCCATTTGTTCTTCATTAATAATCCTATAACAATTTATCTGCTCATTTAGAGATAAAAAAGCCCCCTTTGAGCCGTAGACCAAACACCCACCCGAGAATGACAGATTTCGCTAGGCCCCCACAAATGTATACATACAACTGACGCATTTTCATTTGCCTTCAACACACTCGGCCTTAATTGTTAGCATGTCCACATGCTTAACAAAACAGTATAACCCTCCCTCCACCAACTCCCTCCCTCCACCAACTCCCCCCCTCCACCAACTCCCCTCCCCCCTCCACCAACTCCCCTCCCCCCATCCACAGGTTTTTTTTTGCTGGAGATGATCCCCAGTCCCCTACATACATCGTAGGCTGTGTAAAATGTACAAAGTGAGAACCCTCCCCCCTCCTCAGTGACCTCTCCCTCATGCACACACATGTATATATACTTGCATACTGTATATACTTATGCACAAGCATATATACATACATTTAAGTACGCTAGCATATTCAGTATACATATAATTGAACACACACACATATGCATACTGATTTGAGTATATATTATGAGAATCGGGCTTTGCGTGCCGAGCTTGCTGGTCCTAAGTCCAGGGGGTCAGAAACATGGAGTGTATTTAACATGAGTGTTCGTACTAAATACTGAGGGATGGCAGAGAAGAATCAACACTTAAAAAACTTACAGAATTAATACGTCATAGAGGCTCGGTTCCCTGTAAGTCCAGTAGTGAAAGAATGTAAAGCTAAAGCTTTACCGAAAGAAACGTTTCCAGAACTTGTAGGGTCGCCTCGCCTGTTCAATTTATCTGCCTATATTAATAAAGAAGCTAAGACATCCCAACTCATGTCTGCATGCAGCCACCTTGCAGTGTAACCTGACATATAGTTTATAGCTCATTTTAATATTTGTATAATTCTTCTGTTTGCTTTGGTAAATTTATTTATTTTAATTCACCTGTACTGTAGTTCGTTTATGGGAGACAATAATATATAGTGTTTTATACTTATTAACTTTCGGCCTTTATAACTCACGGCCTAAAGACTTCTGTGGTTTAAATATCTACGGCCCCAACGTCTTACTGCCTAACAGGATCACTGCCTAAAAGTCCCGAACTCTACCCCCCCCCACACACTTCTCTCTACCATGTACACACGTGCCCGCGATTCCACACTGGGCAATTCGATTAGATGCTAATTTACCCCATTTTTATCCGTAAGACTGGCAGTACAGTATAGCAATAAAATTTTCCCGTCTCCTCTTGCATAAATTTGTGAGAATGACACACAAATATATATATATATATATATATATATATATATATATATATATATATATATATATATATATATATATATTATATATTCTTTACGCGCAGACATTTGGACAAGGATGCAAAGTTCTGGTTCCAAAACTCGAGTAAGTCCCGTATAACTGGACAAAACAAACTAACGAAACCTAAACTGACATAGAAAATATTGTAAATTCTTCGTTAGGTTTCTATTTATTTTTATTAGCAGTTTAGTGAGTTCTGGCCTCAGAAACGACATTCTTGCCAACCTCTGTAAAGCTAACGCAGTTACAGTCCAACCAACAAATGCACACACGTGTGACACTGGACCTGTCTCTCTCCCCCACCTCTCATACACACTCCACTCATAAGTTAAGAATTTCACTCCGTATCCACTTCCTCAAACACACACACACACACACATATTTCAATATGCTTTGAATATCCATATATTTTTTTTTCATTCTGTACCGTATATTTTTATTTTTATTTGTTCATGTTTACGTAAAGTCCATTTAAATTTTCTTGGCGCAGGTCAAATTTGTGAGAGCATTTTCAGTTAAAGTACGGTACCGGTAGCCTATCATGTAAAGACCATATAATTTACCACTGACATTTTCTTGTATTAGCAAAAAAACAAAAACATTGCAATGGCTTAGATAGTATCGAGGGGCAATATGATCGAGGTGTATACATGGAAGTCAGGGTTAAACGAAGGTGATATTATTCGTCGCAATGATTTTAAATTCGACAAATTTAGATTTAGGCGCAAGATACGGCAAGTAAACACTGGTTGGGAAATAGAGTAGTGTGTGACCGGAACAAGTTACTGGACATATCATTTAATCGAACACGCTGGGTAGCTTTAAATATAGGTTGGACGGATATATGAGCGATAGGGGTTGGGTGTAAACGGGCTGCCAAGTATGGGCCAATAGGCCCGCTGCAGTTTCCTCCATTCTTATGTTATGTGTCTACCCATCGAAAAGTTGTGCAACGAGTACGATACCTTATACTGTGGGAGCAAGCAGTATTCTGTACTAATATTGCTTGCTCCTGCTGCTTTTTTTTTACCGATGAGTGAATATTCATGAAAAATGCCTTAAATCACTGGACAAGAATGTAATTTCTACATCCTTGCCAATCACTGCTTAAAGTTTATCAGATTGCCAAACGTTAAAAAGATATAGTTCTTTTACAGGCTCTTTATTCGATTTCTGACACAAAAGAGTACACTTAACCGTTAGCTTTGGGCTTTTTGTCTAAGACTTGAGTGTGATGGTCATACTTCAAGGTTTAATGCCGTAGCTCATATTCTAGATGACTTGCTTTTGGTATCAAGTTTTTGCCAGGGTATGTTTGTCCAGTGTTTGTTTCAAGCACGGTAAATGGTGTACTGTACTGTGTAGTGCCTTTATGTGTTGCATCTTTTATGTAACGTGTCAAGTTTTTGTTTAGTATGCATTCTTTTTTATATGACTTAAAGGGCCACAGAATTATTTTGTGAAAGGATTGGTTGCAACAGGTGCCAATTAGGAGACTTAATTCAAATCAGTTGCTGTTCTTGGTTATCCCATTAATCTAGTAAGTTATTTGTATTGTGCATAACGATTCCCGTAAACAGCTAAGTGGTTACTGGTGTGTAGTGTTTCTGAGGGGAGGGGGTGGTTCCGTGTGTGTTTCCCCGGGTGTTGTTGGGTGATGTGTCTCCTAGCAGGATAAACTGGACGGCTTTGGGTTCAAGGTCACCCATCCTCTAGGCTACCAGTATCATCACAATAAAGGCTCACTGCATACCTATACTTGGCTTCTCTGTTTCCGTACGCTACTTTAACCTCTGCCTCCTCCCGTCATTAGGCCGGTCTTCCACCAACCTGTCTGAAAAGTTGGGACAAGCTTTTCGATTCTGCTTCATGAAGAACCATGTATATTCGAGTAGGCTAGCCTATAGTCAATAGTGTTTGGGAACCTAATAGTCAATAGTGTTTGGGAACCTAACCAATTTCCTATTTAAGTATTTCTTGCACTCTACGCGTCATGATTCTTACATCACCAGGTGAAGTGTAGTAACTTTACTGTTCACCCTTTTTATTTTCAGCAATATTTTGTACTACTATATTTCAGTGTTTTGCAGGTAACAGAACCAGACATTCCAATTTTTCTCGAATATTCGTTATACCGATTGTATAAACAATTCTTTTGAATTGTGTTAGATGTTATACGTTGTTGACCTGATTACATTCGTTGTATTTTCACTTATCTCTGTTACATCTCTATTACAGTACTAATTGTTCTTTTGAAATGGTAAATTAAGGGAACAAAATATGGCAACTGTTTTGGTTACAAAAATATAAATTTTTATATAGAATCCAGCTGTATATTTTATCATATAAGGTTATAACAATGAAAAGTAAAGGATATTTATATTTCAATATTATTAGTGTATTGGTATTTCTTTATTTATCACCAATGGGATTTGATTATGGTGAAATTTGACAACACGTTTTCAATCCAATATGTCGTGTGTGTGTGTGTGTGTGTGTGTGTGTGTTATATCCACTGCTTATACAGCATACCGGTAATGAATGTATTATGTGAGATGATAAAGGCAGTAGAAATACTGTAGTTACCAACGGTTCATGACAAAACTACGCAAGTACGACACAGTACTTGAGAGAGAGATTATCTTGTATGCAGTCTTAGTTCAATCACATGACCGAGCCGTGAGCTTCGGTGTGAAGTACTGTACGCCCATGTACAGTCAGCCAAAGATGCACCGACCCCACCCTGGGCCTCGTGCTCGCAATTTTACCTGGCATTACTTGGTAAAGGAAGGCTGTGTGTAAAGGTGATTGTGATTGGTGAATCTATTTTCGGTTGTATCACTGTCTGGATAAATATTAAACAAACCAAAGGTAACATTTTTATAACAATAAACTATTCATTGTTATTTAAGGTCATGAGAGGTTTCCAAATGTTCGTATATTTGTTTAAATAATGAAGAAAATTTGATGTGAGAATCTTGTGGCAGCTGTGGTTGTAGTAGAGTTTTCCAGTAATTATATTCATTATAAAGGAAATGTATAATTGAACATTGTTTTCAAAACCCAAGCATTAATATTAATAAACACAAAGTCTAGACAAAAAATAGTAAATTCTTTATTGCATTATTTTGAATTTACAGAATGAAATTACTGAAATTCTGTTTGGCGTATCAAAGCTAGATACATAGTGCTCAAGTGTTTTAAGAATCTTTGCAAATGATCGACTCAACACTGGGTTCACTCGGGGGAGGGGGACACCATATACTGGCTTTCAAAATTACCGCATGTTCTCAATATCATAACCATAACCTTTAAGCCTCTTGTAGAGCGAATAATGCGGGTTGTTTGGTTGGTAATTCTATATGCATTGTATTATAAAATAGATAATTGAAATATTTGTCATTTTTATTTCTAATTATTGGTTTTAGTGACAGGCGAATTTTTCAGATGAGTTGCAGGGAGAAGGTGTGTCTAGGCCTGGAGTAAGATTGGGTGTTCCACTTTCAGTACGATCATGCTAAATGCTTTTATCCTAAAGCAG